TCTCTTGTATGGAAATCCACAAGCCAAACAATTATATAGGGTGACAAAAAAGTCTGGAAACGGCTTAATATCTTTTTAACTAAAAATCCGTTAGAAAATTCAAACCTTTCACATAAACTTACATGTACGGTATGAAAACTACTTTTTGCAAGCATTACCATTTTTTACCCTCCCCAGGAGCCCATGAGGAGTAGGTACATAATCTTTAATGTACGCATGGGTTTATATGCACATCATTTTAAAGGTCTGGTCAAGTGGAGTTCATTGCCGCAAACCACGTCAAAAAAGGTTCATCCGTTACGAAATGGCGGCAGTCCAAAGTTCTTGCGGAATATACCTGCACAGGCCATAGTATTGGTAAATACTCATAGTCAACATTAGCCGGGAAATCTTTAACCCGGTTAAATTTGTTTTGAAGATTGAATAAACTTAGTCTATGAGCTAGTTGACTTTAAAATACAATTTCAGCTCTCAAGCAAATGTTTAATACGAGTATTTACCAATACTATGGCCTGTGCAGGTATTTTCCGCAAGACCTTTGGACTGCCACCATTTTGTAACAGATTAACCTTTTTTGACGCGGTTTCCGGCAATGAACTCCACTTGACCAGACCTTTAAAATGATGTGCATATCAACCTATGCTTACATTAAAAATTATGTACCTACTCCTGATAGGTCGTCCCCTGGTGAAGGTAAAAAAATGGTACCGGCAATGCTTGCAAAAAGCAGTTTTCATACATGTAAGTTTATGTGAAAGGTTTGAATTTTCTAGCGGATTTAGTTAAAAAGATATTAAGCCGTTTCCAGATTTTTTGTCACTGCATAAAAAATACTGTCGAATAGAGCCTAGATAACAGCCAAGAAAGTTCATCTTTTGTTTGAAACAACCAAAAACTACAAGAGTTTACTTATTTTCAAATAGCCTACATAATAAGGAATTTTTAAATTTTACAGTTTTTTTTTTATTCTTTCCAATGTTTCAATATACTACAATGTTTGTTTTTTAAGCTCTAAAAAAACTAAGGGAAATTGCAAAATGTTATGTTTTAGGGTAAAAATGGGAAAACAAATTTGTATCCCATTAAAAACTATGTAAACCCCTGTTGCCATAGTCTGATCATACTGATTTACGAACTCGTCTAGATTTTATGGAGGTTTACATGTTAGTACCAAATGTAATTAAAATCGAACATTTTTGCTCAAGGTATCGAGGTAACCGAGCACATATCCATACAGGGTGTTAAAAAAAGGCGGGGACATAATTTACGTAGTGATTCCTTGGGTCAAAATGAAGAGAAAATCAAGAATAACATTTCTTTTTACATAAACATTTTTATCTTTGAAATTCTTCAACTGATCTTTATGAAACTTGGTATGTATGTTAAGGTAGAAGAGACCCATGTTAGAAAAAAAATTGATCTTGATCCAACTTAAAATTTCAAAATGGCGGTCATTTAACATTTTTTAACTTAAATTACTCAGAAACGGACAATTTTATGAAAAAATGCCAAAGACAGTTTTATTAAGCATTTTTCGTTTTTTATAAAACGGTACCCAGTTAAAAAAGATCGAATAAGAAATAGCTTAAATATTACAGTTTTTAGTTCTAAAATTGGGTAGAATAAGGCAGAAGCTAATAATCAGGTTTGCCACATTTTACAACTAAACTCTTTATATTTAAGCTATTTCTCATTCAATCTTTTTGCACTTGGTATCGTTTGATAGGGAAGTAAAAATGCTAAATAAAAGTGTGCTTGAAAAATCAGCCATTTTTGAGTAATTTAAGTTTAGAAAATTTGAATGGTCGCCATTCTGAAATTTTAAGTTGGACCAAGATGAATTTTTTTTCTAACATAGGTCTCTTCTACCTTTAAACATACATATCAAGTTTCATAAATATTAGTATAAATAATCCAACAATAAAAATGTATATGTAAAAAATACAAAATGCCGGATAAGTTACCTGGTTAAGGAAGTGATTTTGGAAAAAATGTTATTCCTTATTTTCTCTTTATTTTGACCCAATGAATCACTACGTAAATTATGTCCCCACCCTTTATGAACACCATGTACATTTATATATGAACTAGCTGTACCCGCGGGCTTTGCCCCGTTTAACTTCTTAATTTTCAAGATGATCTCGTTCGCATGGCTCAATCACGTCCTGGTTGAAGTTAGTTCGCTACGCTCACTCACCTTTAGGTTGGAGCTCGTTCGCTGCGCTCACTTGCCTTCAGGTTAGCTCGTTCGCTACGCTAACTCGTCTCCAGGTTGAAGTTCGTTCGCTACGCTCACTCACCTTTTGGTTGCAAATTAGCTGTTGTCATTAATTAAAATAAATAATAGTGCTGCACCCTGTTGGTAATCATTGTAACTTTAATGCAATTGAACATCATAGAACAGAACCAACTTGTTTAATTGAAACAGCTGTTAAGATTCATTAATTCCTTTTAAATATGAAAAATCATAAGGCTAACATGGGAAACTCCAGAGCCACTGGGGCAGAGCCCGAGAGTCCGATCAGAATAAAAACAACTTAGTTTTCCTATTTAATGCCTAAAGAATCAATGTACCAAATTTCAGCCTCCTAGGTAAATGGGAAGTGGGAGAATTAGTGATTAGTGTGTCAGTGAGGGCTTTGCCTTTTATAAGTATAGATTTGAATGGATTCCACTGCGGGTCCAGGCCTTACCATGAGACCTACTGTAAAAGCTTCCCCTATATGGGAACTGGGAAATACGCTACAAGACAGAAATATGCATAGAAGTCCTGAAATTTACACTACCAAAGTCAATGTATCGTGAAACTGCACTATAATAATCCCTATGCAATTACAAGGGAAACAGAGCACAAGCACAGACAAGATTATACTGAAAATCCTAAATTAAAATCCCCGCACATCCACAATTGGTTTGGACAGCTTTCCCTCCAAAACTTTATACAAACACACATGGGACACTTTATAAAAAGTGTTTGACTTAATTATAAAAATACCACTGGCGTAGATACGAGAAAAAAAGAGCATGATTATACCCTGCTTATCTCCCTGTAGCTCAACTGTGTGTAACATCCTAAAAAATCTTTAGAAAACACAGACGTTCCATAAGATAACATGGCAGACAGGTGACATCAGCTCATAATTCGCACTTTATTGATTGAAATTTATTAAAATATTGAAAATAAAACATACAGAATTGAACCCGAAACAATATGAATTAAAAATCTATATCTGTACATTTTTAAAACGATTCAATATTGTTATAGTCTAGTAACCAATCATTAGTAAATAAACAAAACCATTAGCTGCTTCCAAACAAAACAGCTGTTACAACACCACTTTGCGACGTTGCCACTTCGAAGGCCGCGGCCGTGGAGGCGAGACGGTCGTGAACAATGAGTAAGCACTAGATCCACTTCACTCCACTCGTCAAAACAAAAGCAAACGACAAGACGAAAACAGTTTGCAGAACACGACGACGAGGTGTTTACTCAGGGGAGTTATATACAGGGTGTCCATAAAGAACGTTTCAGGACTTTGGGAAATGAATCCCCATACTAAAAGGAAGAAAAAAGTTCATGGGAAGGTATGTCCGAAAATGCATATTAACCCAGATATCCGCCATTTTGTTTTTTATACAAAGATATTTTTATCTGTGAAGTTTTTTATTCGACGATTATGAAATTTGGTATACATGTTAATATACACAAGACCTATAAGAGAAAAAATAATACAGTTGTTCCGATTGTAAATTTCAAAATGGCGGCCGTTTGAATTTTTCTAACTTAAATAACTCAAAAACGGCTAATTCTATGAAAAAATGTCAAGAATACTTTTTTTAGCATTTTTAATTTCCTATCAAACGGTACTAAGATCAAAAAGATCGGACAAAAGATAACTGAAATATAACGTTTTTTGTGTAAAAATAAGGCAAAGTTAGTAGAGGATCCCTTAATTTTTGCCTTATTTTTACACAAAAAACAATAAGGCAATGTTTCAGTTATCCTTTGTCCGATCTTTTTGATCTTGGTATCGTTTGATAGGAAATTAAAAATGCTAAAAAAAAGTATTCTTGACATTTTTTCATAGAATTAGCCGTTTTTGAGTTATTTAAGTTAGAAAAATTCAAACGGCCGCCATTTTGAAATTTACAATCGGAACAACTTTATTACTTTTTCTCTTATAGGTCTTGTGTATATTAACATGTATACCAAATTTCATAATCGTCGAATAAAAAACTTCACAGATAAAAATATTTTTGTATAAAAAACAAAATGGTGGATATCTGGGTTAATATGTATTTTCGGACATACCTTCCCATGAACTTTTTTCTTCCTTTTAGTATGGGGATTCATTTCCCAAAGTCCTGAAACGTTTTTTATGGACACCCTGAAGATGAGCTTACGATGACAGCTGTAGGCTTCTCATTAGCTGAGGGAACACCATTACCGTAACAATACGGTTTGCAGCCATCGGCCTCGGTGGTCTAGTCAATGAATACTAGTGGTTAGCGTGCCGTGCTGCCATGCCGAGAGTCCCGGGTTCGAATCCCACTGGTGGCACTAACTGTCATTATCAGCAAGTTTGGTTGGTTTGGTTCGGTTATGACAGTTTAATTTTATTATTAAGTCATTATAACATTTTAATTGAGCAATTTCTAGTTTTATTTAATAAACGGAAATTATTTTTTTTTATTAATAAACTTTTTTTATATTATTTTATTATCAGCAAGTTTGGTTAGTTCGGTTAGGTTATAATAGCAATTTTATAATAAAAAAAATATAAAATTGAATTTGAGGCATTTATAATTTTATTTTATGAACAGAACTATTTTTGCGATTAGTAAACCTTCATTGCCAAAATGCTCTCTTCTACAGCGCTGTTCACGGAGGAATTTTGAACTAATGCCTCAATCGTACCTCCCCTAAGTCAGACCAGACCCCGACGACGACATTAGGATTCATTTTTTTTACCTATACTACCTACATAACCTAACTTAACTCAGCTAGACGTATTTACAAGAACTTGCCATAATTTCATAATATTCTTGAAATATAAATAATTGGCTTTCATAAGCATGTTTATTCATGGTAGTTGTTACTTGCATGAGTGTGGCATGACTAGACATATCGTAATGTGAATGATATACAAATTATAGTCAATTTAATTAAACATAACCTTAAATTTGGGTCTTAGATATGAAGACATGATATTTGTCTCTTGTTTTAATGCATTTGTTAGTAGTATTTCAAAACTTAGAGGGCGTAATTATCTAATTAGACTTTACTCCACTCATAAAGACGAATCATTAATAAATTTACTTAATAAGACATTCAAAATGCCCAAACCAACTCCTCATACTGTTGCTTTAAAGAAACAACGCCTTAAGTTAAAAGAGAAGAGCTTAAAATATAATCCTGGTATTGTGAATCTTCAAGTTCTTGGAAGTGGTGCACATGGAGCTCCGAGGTGTTTATATGTATTCACGGACCAGTCAAGGTAAGTTAGCCTAAGTGGAAACAAACGTTAAGTTAGGGGTATATTTATACTCACTAGGATTGGTGTGAACCTGGCAATAACTCAGCAATAAGTAGTGCGCGGGCCTGATAAAATCTATTGCTGGCCGTTTTGCGGAAAAATACGGCCACGTAGGTTATTACCAATAATGTCACCTGATAGAAAGGACACATTAACGGACACAACAGTATCAATATCATGTACCTGGAGACTAAGTTAGGGGGGTAAAATCAGCAATAAGTAAGTTAGTGCGTGCGCCTTATAAAATCTATTGCTGGCCGTTTTGCGGAAAAATACGGCCGCGTAGGTTATTACCGATGTTGTCACCTGATAGAGGACCACATTAACGGAGGTAGGGTTCCCAGAGACCCTTTATCAAAAAAGAGGACATTATGACTCGTGGAGCTTAACCCTCCGAGTGTTATTTGTCGATGCTTCGACACATAACACACTTTGTGTAGTGTTTTGTGTCTATGCATCGACTCACAAACACTGTTTACAGCGAAGGCTCTATGACTGACAAAATCAGATTGAACTGGATCAAGTTAGGTATCGTTTTATTTGACAGATTCAGAGCTTTCTCCGGAGGTCTGTCTCTAAGCGCTTTTCATTTTAGTTCCAAAAATATTGTAGCAGACAGCTGACGTGCGTATTTGTAAACAGCTTGGTTAACCTCGCACCGATGACTGATGTGTTTTATTACGTTTATCATTGTTTTAGTATTAAAAATCAAAAGTAGTGATATACGTGGTGCATTATAAGAAGATTTAAGTGATTTTGAAGGGCTGGTTAATGATCCTGAAGAAATAGGTAGTGAAGTGATATTATGTAAATTATCAGCCAGATTCCTAGCTATGGTTAGGCTAGGCCTATGCATTCTTAGCTAAACGCTATGTACTGAAATCTGTTTTTTGCCCATAACTTATTTATTTGCAAATCTACTTCCTTATATTATTATATATTTGTAATGCTCATAAAATTTAGAACAAAGTGTTTACTTTCAAATATTTATAGGCCTATAATTTATACAATTTCATTGAGCATGAAAATTTTTTTTGAAACAAATGTTCCTTATGTTTTATGTATAATATTGAAGCCCATGATTTTCCAAACAAAATGGTATATAGAACAGTATAATTAACACTAGTGTACATGTTGCTCGAATTCGAGCAGTTGCAAAGTATTACAGGAGTTTTAGAGTTATTTCAAAATGAATAACAGTCATATTTACAATGAGTTTAAAAGAGTCAACTCAAAGATTACCGGTGTGTAACTCAGACCATGTTTATCTTCGTTATTGATAAACCTAAAGAATTCCGGCTGGTTTTCTCCTTCTCAAAATGCCTCGCTGTACAGGCAAAACAGGCCATTGATAGATGGCCAATTGAGAACGAAAAAGTCGTTTTGGGGTAGTGTTAGGGCGCATTTGTAACCTAATAGTTGAGATTGCCCAGGGTCAGGTGCTGACTGTGATGAGTTAAGCCTATTACGCGCCACTGTTCTGTAGCTGCGGTCGTTATCACGATTACGCCTCCTGTATGTTTCGTTGTCGTAGCGTCGGAGGCATTTAAAAGAAAAAAACAACAAATAAACAAATTATAGCTATAGGCCTACAAAACAACGATAAATGCACAAATTTCAGTTACAATCATACTAACACGGATCCGTCTTAGCGACACAAGACCCAATAAATACACAAATTTAAGATACAGTAGAGTCCCGTTAGTCTGAAATGGTTGGGACCGGGCCCATTTCGGATTACCGAATATTTCAGATTAAACGTTTTTTGTTTTTTTTATTTTTTTTTTTATTTTTTAAAAATTTTTTTTGAAATTTTTTTGTCTTATTCTTACTACTTTTTTTCGGACGCAGGCACGAGCCCGGGATTGTTTTTCACATTACTTAAGGCTAGACCTATTGGCTGCAGCATTATCACTTGGTAAAATCCATTTGTGATTTGGCGGACGAAAATGTAAAATGTTACAGTACTAACAAAAATGGTAAAATATTAATTTACTAAAGTACTCTACAAAAAAGTCTATCTCGCCCAGCCGCTACAGAATACTTTGACGAGGTACAGCTAACTGTGTCAAAAGTTAAATAAAAAAATTCAAAAACTTTCCAAAAAACTTTAAACAATTTCGAAAAAAATTCAAAAAAATTTCAAAAAATTTTTTTAAAAATTTTCTAAATTTTTTAACCCTTAGAGTGCCAGGCGAGAAATAAAAGTAACGCTCAAAAAATGCCGATGATTTTTCCCGAAGGTCGCGCTAAAAATGCCGAGCGCGATCTGGCGATTTTTAGGTTAAAATTTCGTAAAAATCGAATTTTCGATATTTCGACCAACGAAAATCGATGTATCGCATCTAGCAACTTTCGACTCAATGTTAATATATGGGTTAAAAGAATCCGAGTATTTATTCGGTTGTTATGACAGCTGTTCGATCATTACGAAACGTCCGGTCAGCCGGACGTTGGCACTTTTGGCTCGTTCTAAAAACGTCCGGTCGGCCGGACGTTGGCACTTTTGGCTCGTTTTAAAAACGTCCGGTTCCCCGGACGTTGGCACTCAAAGGGTTAAATTAAAAAATATATTTTTTGGTTTCGGATTAAGCGGACTTTCGGATTACCGAAGTTCGGATTATCGGGACTCCACTGTACAAACATATTAACACGATCCGTCTTGGGGGTTATGTTTACACAAACTCAAATAGTACTCAATGCGTTTCAAATTGAAAAATAAATAACAGCAATTAAATTATACAGCTGATCAAAATGTAAACAATTATGTTCCTCATAAGGATAACATGGGAACTTTCAAAGCCACTGGGGCAGAGCCCAACGGACTTTAAACAAATGTAAGGCCAGTTTGCAAATCTACGCGACACGCTCTTTCCAATGAGACGTCAATGGATAAAATCGGTTAAGAAATGGCGGAGGAGTTCAACCGACAAAGTTTCATGTAGCGTATTAATTATATAGATTGTTTTCAAGCTTCTCAGATCCGTTTTAATAAAACCTTGCAAATGAGCAAAAAATAGGCAGACATTAAGGCCAAAACAAGGGACACTCGGAGGGTTAAATAACTTGTAGGGGGGGGAGGGTCACCTAAATTTTTAAAAATTTATAATTACTTTTATGCGTTTTAAGGGTAAAAAAAAGTGTTTAGACTAGCCTATTCTAGATACTTAGGTATACTAGAACTTTCAGCATTTTGGATTTTTTTTGAACTGAATAGCCTATTGTCTGACAATTCCTAAAAAATAATAGCCTAAGTTACTTATATTGTAAGTTTTAGAAATTTTAAACTAGAATTTTCGATTTGCTAGCCATTTTTTACTATCACTAAAATTGCTTTAAATTTTCATTCAACCATGCTTGTGTTAACAAATAGTACAGTATTGATAAAATTTGGCAATTTAGGCTTTTAACTCCAAAACTTTTGTCTGGATTACTGGATCCCCCTCACTTAATATACAATTACTGGATCAAAAATATGTTTTGTAAGACTAGGAGTCTTTAAACAACACATTTTGAAGTTTAGTGGTACAATCCATGGACTCCAAACTCTGGTGATGTTTTTACTACAGTGTAAAATGCAGTTTCTGCAGCAACACAAGCCAAATAATTGAATTTAGAGCCAGGTTTAAAGAACAAAACTGTCAATTTCTTATAGTTTTTATGAGTTTATTCTGTGGTTAATAATTTTGATAAAAGTCACCTGCTATCAATAAGTTAGACAAAATTTATAATGATTTTCCCTAAAAAAATCTGCAAGAGTACAACCATTGACTATTGAGTCAAAGGTACAAAATTTATTTATTTATTTATTTCCCAACGGATTGCACCTTTTTACAAAATATGTGTATACAATTTAGATGGCATTTGCAATATTACTATCTAGAAAAGTAATAACAATGGTAATAACAAAGTGATAATAAATAGTAATGGCAAGTAATAACAAATAGTGATAACAATAGTAATAACAAATAGTGATAACAATAGTAGTAACAAAGTAATAACAAATATTAATAACAGAAGAATAAACTAAAAAGAGTATCAACAAAGAACATGAACAGCAAGTTTCAGCGATGAGAAGACAAATGTGCAGATGTGCTGGAGTGTGGTTGCTCAAGTGATCAGGGAGACCTTCTTTTTGAACCGGAGGGGCTTCTCGCCGAAGAAATCCAGTTGAGCAGCCGCCGTGCTACCAGCCTTGAGTAGACGGCTAATTCCGCTGTTGTAAGAGTAGTAGGCTGGGAGAAAGCGTCTGCTGAATATAGTCCTGGAGCGGGTGCCTCTGGGCGTGGTAATGTCGATACCACTCAGGATGTTGGGACAATCGACAAACCCGTTAACCAGCTTGTAGAGCATGAATATGTCGGCATGATGACGTCGGAGTGACAAAGGCAGAAGATCGAAGGACTTCTCCACATCGTCAACCGGGGTAGTGCGGTAGGTAAAACCAAGTCTCGGTCCAAGCATCCGTATGAAGCGGGTTTGTATGCTCTCCAGTTGGCTGACGTGGTTCTTCTGGAAGGGAGACCAGATGATTGACCCATACTCCAGCAGCGGGCGTACCAGGGACTTGTAGAGCGTGATCAAGGTGAAGGGTGAGTTGAAATTCCTTGTTGATCTGAATATGAAACCAAGCAGGGAGCTAGCTTTGGTTGTAATGTGGGCAATGTGCTCGTGAGGGTTGAGCGAAGGGGTCATTGTCACTCCGAGATCTCGTACCCTGTCCACTCTCTTCAGTGTAGAACCATTGAGGACGTAGTCATATTGGACTGGGGCTGCACCACGTTTGTAGGAGATGACGACACATTTCAAGACGTTGAGCTCCATGAAGTTTTCCTTGCACCAGGCGTCGATGTTAGTGAGAGAAAGTTGGAGGCGCTCAAAGTCAGAAGCCAATGACACCGAGCCAAATACCTTAATATCATCGGCGAACATGAGAAATTTGGTGAGGATGACGTTGCCAATGTCATTCATGAACAGGTTAAACAGCAAGGGACCGAGGTGGGACCCTTGCGGGACTCCAGATAGGACACTGAATGGCGTAGAAAGGCACCCGTCGTACTTGACTACAAGGGTTCTGTTGGTCAAGTAGCTGTTTAACCACTCAAGCAGGGCCCCCCCCACACCATATCCGGCAAGCTTTGCCACAAGGATGTTGTGATTGACCTTGTCAAAGGCTTTGGAGAGATCAAGGTAAACACAGTCAACTTGGAGAGCATCGCCAAAAGCGGCCATGACATATTCTTGAAACTCCATCAGGTTTGTTACTGTTGAGCGTGAGCGCAGGAAGCCATGTTGAGAGGAGGAGATACATTTACGGAGATGAAAATAGAGGTAGTCCAAAACAATGCTCTCGTACACCTTGGCAACAGCAGAGAGAATGACAATGGGCCGATAGTTTCTGACATTTGAACGATCACCAGATTTGAAGATGGGGACGACAAAGCCACGCTTAAGGGCCGATGGGAAGATTCCAAGTGAGAGCAGGGATGTAAACCAGATAGCCAGATGAGGAGCCAAAATAGGGGCACAGTATTTAAGAACGCACGGAGGAATAGCATCAGGACCGGCTCCCTTATTAGGGTCAAGCGAGGCAAGTTTGAGTTGAACGTCTGAGGCTGTGACGACACATTTAGTGATGGAGAAGTTCCAGCCAAAGTCGAAGACAGGAGAGGGAATTTGGTTCACCGTGAAGACGGATGAAAAGTAGTTTGAGAATAGTTCGCACTTTTAATAATAATAATTATGACTGCTAAAATAATAATTATGACTTGCATGTTAGTCTGACACGCCTACAAGAAATGGGAAATTGCCATATTAATAAAAAGCTAGTAATCATCATAGGATTAAAAATAAATTTTCAGTATGTTTACTGAGTTAATCACCTTTAACTTACATAGGCAAAAGTACAAACAATTTATCCAACAAAACAAAGCCTAGGCCTACATACTTACCTCTAATGTAAGTAACTTAGGAAGCTGAGCTAACTATTGAAACTAAGTTAATTTGCTCTGTGTTTCTTGTTATAGGTATCTTTTCAACTGTGGGGAGGGTACTCAGAGACTAGCACATGAACATAAGATGAAATTATCTAAATTGGAGCACATTTTTGTTACTCATACGTCATGGGAAAACATTGGTGGACTGCCTGGCGTGTCACTGACCATTCAAGATGTAGGCGTTCCGCAAATCACTCTTCATGGACCCCCAGGCACGGTATGATTGTCTGTTTAGGATCGTCTATCCGTTAACTAAACAAGCACTCTCTAGATCTTATTGTAGGCTACAGCCAATAAGTATGACTTAAGTTATGAATTAAGATAAGCTAAAGCCAATGTTGTTAAACCATAATTTAAACAAAGCTTCGAATCATTTATGAAACGCATTATTAGTCTCTATCATTTATTCAAACACATATAGTCTCTAGTCTAACTAGGAAAAGTGCATGGTCTATATTTTTCTGGGAGTTCCGTCAGCATGAGGAAAACGTGGCTTGAAGTTGTGTGAATCTGAAACAAGACATTTTGGTGAATTTTTGTCCACACAACAACATACAGAAGCTATATGGTAGTTTTATTGTGCCATTGTCTACTTAATTGGCCCTACTCTTGGGTATCTAGTCTATTGTTTGATCAGATTGCGACCAAAGTTTTTGTTTCCTAATATTTTGAAATAGTTATAAAGAAAAAAAAACATTGGTACATTTTGTCGAGAAAAACCATGTTAAATAAAATAGTGTCTAGTTGTATGATGTCCCCTACTTTTTGCGGTTACGCTTCGTAGTAGTTTTTAGTCTATTCAATGACGGATAATCCTTTCAGTTTATTTTAAAAATTACCGTACCTTCCAAAATCCTTTTTCCCCAGTGTCTCAGCTTGGGTCTGGAAAAATATGGAGGCCACCTCAGTTTTAATGAAGTTTAAAACAATGTACATTCCGCACCAGGCTTTCAATCATTAGGATGTGGCCAAGGGCGTAACTTTGGTGTCTTAATTTGTCTTAAAACTTAGACAATCATTTACCGTAGGTGAATTGGATGATCTTACAGTGTAATGTTTGGTTCTACAGGACCTAGTCTTCTCAGGAACTCGAAGGTTTGTTGTTCTGCGTCACTTGGCGGTTCAGATGGCGTCATGTGAACGTGACACTGTGTTTGAGGATAACATATTGAGTGTGAGATATGTTCCACTGTACAGCACGGCAGGGCGTGCTTGGCACAATACTCCACTATCTGACAAGTAAGTTGTTTTAAAATAAGAACAGTAGACCAAGACCCCCGCCTATCTGATTCTGTATTAACGGCTACTCTGATTTGTCATACCAGTGGTGGAGAAGTATTGGTTCTTATGACCATTCTACACACTCGTGCAACTTTGGACACTAGTGCAGCCGCGTCAAATGCAGTTATCCAGTTTATAATTCAACAGTTTTTAAACCCTAAATATTTAAATACAATGGAAATCCATTCAATTATATGTTTGTCTGAAGGTTTCAAAATAGTATCGAACTTTATTTTGATATCTTCTGGGCTCTGGCAAATACGTCACTGGTTTTTTCATACCTACACGTTCCAGTGTTTAACTCTTCAAAATCTCTTCCTCTATCGCAATAACAGTAAAGAATGAGAAGCGAGAGCACTGCTTTGAATGTCATACACCCTCAAGACTGCCGGTGTGTGGCTATACGACTTGAGTTACGTGCTTGCGTTTGACAAGTAAGATGTGTCGTAGCACGACCAAAGTTAGTGTGTGTCACGGGCTTAACTGAGTTGGATTCTGCTAATTCCTCCCTCTATCATTCTTAATATTGATTGAAAATAGTATTAAATTATGAAGTTCTTAAACTTCTAAGATTGGCAGAAGCATCATTAACATAAGTTTATAAACTTTTACGTTAACACCCCACCAGCTGTTATCTACGCTCCTCTGTATGTATAATTTTGAGCCATGTGGTAGTAAATGATTGCAGAATTCTGATTCCATCAATATTTGTAGGTCTCCGGACCGAACCACTCCAGATGACTCGACCGATGACGACACTGACTATTACGCTTACTGGCACAAGGGACCAAGGTCGAGATCTAATTCTCCAACAAATACTGGAAGTCCAGGCAAAAGCAAGAAACGACGCCACCTTTCACCAGGTCTGCAACTATTTTATGCTAAGCTCGTTTCAGTTGGTAGCAGTTCACATGTAAAGTTGAATGAGTGGTCAGCATTTTTCAATAGTTTTAAATTCAAATGGCAATGAATAACGATTTATGGACCTTTTGAAGTATTTGTGTAATTATTTTCACCAAAACAAGTTAGTCTCTCATCAAGGATTTTTATCTTATTGTGGACTGTCACCCACAAGGGTCATCTGTTTGGGAGCTGCCTAGATATGTAGGTTAAACTTATATGATAGTGGAATTTGATGCATTTTAAGGATTTGCCATATGAGTATGCCTATGATAAATAACACCATTTCAGAGTTCTGCCAGTTTTTTCCTAACTCTGTTCTGTAGAGTTTAAAGTAGCCTACACCTTATTGTCTACAATTTGGCTAAATAACTTTGGTACAGTACGGTACATTATAAAAGCTGACAGCCTTTTTACGTTGAATTGAATTGTAAGCTTACCTTTTCCCGTCCATTGGGAAGTTTGATAGTTAAAAATTAACCCTTTAAACTGGAATAGGACTGTTATGTAAATTGTGAGTATTTCCATTAGTTAATAATCTTTTAGTCGACTCTTTTAAAATCATCGGAAATTATGGCTGTTATTAGTTTTTAAACAAGTAATTTGTTTATAAATAACTCCAGTACTTCTTTGCAATTGCTCGATTTCGAGCAACATGTACACTTGTTTGATTCTAAATGTCAACAAACTAGTTTTGATTTAAAATAAAGTACATTTTTTATTGTATATTGTAGCGATAACTAAGCTATATTTTTTATGACCAGATAACCGTAACAATCCCCGTAACCTTCCACCACCCGGCAGCATCAGTATGGCATACATATGTAGGCTGCAGGATCGCCCGGGGACACTTGACTTGAAGGTGAGTGGATATTGGAAAGGGAAAGATAAGCAGTTGTAAAATGTCAAGTTTCAATACAGTACATCAACCTATTGTAAGATTCTAGGGCAAAATGATCATTTGTCATTTTTTCAACACTGATAATTTTTTAAACTACACCACACTCAGTCAATGTATAGGAACTGTAATGATTTTTTTGCTAGAACTACAGTAGAACTCCAATTATCCAAAATCAATTGGGAGCGTACAGCATGCGGATAGTTTAAAATTCAGATAATTGGATTTTTACCAAAATTCGGTGTATTTTACAGATAGGCCAAATGTAGCTGAGCTTTTACGATTGTGATCGTAAAACGCGTCTATAATAATTTTGCAATCTACAAATTCATGCTTTTTCCATGATTTTGACTTTTGCCTTCTTTAATAGCCATTCTTATTACTGTGGCTTTGAGTTTTTATGGTTCTTTCTGTAAATGATTCTTATAGTTTGAGTTTTACTGTAATAAAATCTCCTCTTCCTGTTTGAGTGTGTAACATACTTGAAATTGAAGCGACTGAGGGATCAACGTAATAGGACTTGCTTGAGTAATTTGCTCTTAAACCAATTCACCAGACCGTTAATACCAATACTGACAATTTAGCAAAAGGCAAAAAAATTATTCAGGTTTAATGATTGTGTTCATCACTAATGTGTAAGTGTCTCTTTTTGACCTGAGCTCAAGTTCGGCGAGGTTAGAAAATAGGCGAGGCATTGTATTTAATTTACTCAAAACATTTTCTCTCCAGTAGGCTTTCTGTGTAAAGGCGTGTCGGTGATATTTCTTTTTTGTGGTAGGCCTGTGTTTCACGAGGGGTACCTCCTGGTCCACTACTCGCCAGACTAAAGGCAGGAGAAGACATTCAACTGCCTGATGGGACTATTGTTATGTCAAAAGATGTCAAATCACCAGACGAACCTGGGCCTGTATTCATAGGTGAGTGTTTTATAGTTTAACTCAAAGCCTCTTAATTTTAAAGGCGATAGGTTCTGAAACACAGTTTGTTTTCTTTATTGGAAACAATTTTGTTTTAGTGTCATTAATGAGGACTCAATATGCGTAGCTGGTATAGTCCTTGCCACCCTAACTTAAGGCAGCCCAAACTGACCTTCAGGGCCATTACCGGTTGGTCCCGCACGATCTTTTTACAATCCTATTAGCGACGCTTCGTTGGACGCCCTAGTACAATATTAACATTAATACAGTTATAATCATAATCTGATATATTAATGTACTCGTTTACATTAATAACATAAATTAAACAAACATTTCTGTTTTTGTCCCATGTAAAAGGGGCAATTTTTACTGTTTTTGAGCTATAAACATAATACCATGTAACTTAAGTATAAACCGTAAACATTGTCTGTTTTGGATGGGACAAAAACATAAATGTTTGTTAAATCAATGTCATTAACGTAAACAAGTAAAATTAATACATCAGATGAATTTTAGCAATATTAATATTGAACTAGGGCATTCACGGAAGCGACGCTAATAAGATTGTAAAAGGGTGGAGCCGGACCAGTCGGTAATGGCCCTACCCTGCAGGTCAGTTTGGGCTGCCTCAAGTTAAGGTTGGGAGGACTATAAGATTATTTTAAAAGAAAAATAATCTTTTAGCACATTACTGTACATACTCTGCATGTTATCCAAAATAAAACTACTTAATTCGTGGCACGAGTCGCTTTTAGTCTCCTACTTGACACACCACATTCCTGGATTTCCCCAAAACAACACCAACCCTTCACCTTTATTCAATCTTAGTTGCGAGTTAGTGAGTGTGGTTAAGTTGCGGAGGTTTTTTCTGTGTGCATTCTACTGCATTTTTTCAACTAAGAAATCTGTTTTTGGCAAGAATTTTAATATCTCCTGAAATATGCTTATCCTGTTACATGATTAATTTATTATCAAATACATTTGTTTCAGATAATTAGACTAGACTAATTCGCTAATTAACAGGGCAAAAATGTGTTTCGGATTCCACTATAAACAGTAGGCCCCTTAGTTGCCATTGGCTGTATGGGCTATTAATTTAACAGCTGTGTATAAGGAACCTGTCCGCCTTAGTCACTAACAAGACTAAGCGCTCATTCGAAGGTTAAACAATGTTAAAAATTGTACAGTGGTGGAGTGTCCGAACGAGGAGTTCCTGGAGAGTTTGACGCAGGAAGAGTTGTTCAAGAGACACCAGAGTGAGACACAGAGTGTAGAAGACGCAGCATCACTGGTCGTGCACTTCACTCCGGCTAGTGTCATGACTCATCCCAGGTACCACATAATGCCTGTATAAGTAAATACTAAATACTTAGTTTGAAAGTAGAGACACATTTGGCATGATGAACCTGCTATTTGGGTTAATATATTGTAGTAGGCCTAGTTTAAGCCGTGGTAGCATTTTTAGCATTTCGCTATACACAACTTTAAAATGCTACATTGTTTTTGCAGGCTATAGCAAATTTGCTACTAATATTGAAGATGTAATATTACTGGACATTTTTTTAAATGCTTAAAGAATAATATTTTTGCTACAGTTGTCTGAGAGTTTGGAGCATTTTTGCTTAAATAAATTTCATCCCAGGCTATACCCTGTAAAGTAGGCCTGGTTTAATTTTTGTGTAGTCTTGACTTACAGATAAAAGTAAAATGGTAATTTAAATTTTACTATGATTAACTTCCTCTACGGGTTGATGACAATTCTATCACTCACTATGTAGCCGTCTTTGGAGACTTTGCAGATTATCAAGCTCTGCTTTTGTTGAGATGCATAAACATTGAACACTTACAACTATAACACTTATACATTTCACATAGAATATGTGACGGCATCTTAAAACCACCATGTTAGGATATGTAACGGCTGCTGATGTCATCAAAATAGTGCTTGCCTGTAATCACAGAAATTGTCACACTATTTACCAAAATATATGTTTGAGTGTGTGTGTTTAATGTTTTGTGTGTAACGTGAGCAAAGCTTGGTAATCTTTGGATGGATCTAAATAAGTAAACAACTTTCATCCACCCATAGAGAAGGTTACAGAATCACTTGTAAGAACCAATTAAATTTTTTTTTTATTTATGTATTATAGTTGTGTCACCAGTATTTCTAAGGTTGATTTTCACTAGTCTAACATTCATTCGTAAGTTTCATAATTATTAAATCCCCTTCAATTCGGGACCAGCATTAGTGAGGCCATGTCTATTGCTTATTTTAATTACGTTTGGATATGTTTCCCAACCACACCTAAAAACCCCGACATTCGGGCAAGACTTATTCACTGACAGCCGATTATCAATCCAATCCTGCCCAACATCATGCTCTACCGAGACTTGTTTCAGACCTTAAGTTGTAACCTATTTAAACTGGTTAAATAGGATCCTTTTTAACTTCCTTGTCATTTTTAACTCCCTAAGAACATTTTGCATTTCATACTGCAAAACCTTTTTTTGCATTTATCAGTCCCTGCCTTGGAGCTTCATTCGGTAAACAAAATTGTAGCACTTTGAATAAGCTTTTACTTATGGATTGAACGAACATTGGAGCGATCAAAGTTTTCTTTTTCGGACAGTCATACCAGTGATTTTTTGACCCAATGTACCATTTAAAAGTAAAAACACTTTAATCATTCTGAAGTGGCCGTCTGGAGAGAGTGTTCATTCAACTGAACAGAAATTTACTGCTCACAGCAAACAAGTGTGAACTGAAAATCACTTAGCGTATGGCTTTGAATGTGTTCATTCCACAAACTATCGATGTCCAATCAGAGCGTTTTTCATACACCCAATGCTTAAAATGAAAAGGACTTAAATTAGTCTTGTATGAAAATTGTTTAGTAAATAGTATAGCATCTTACAAGCCACATCATATACATGTGAGGTGGTTGCAGTTACCGCAAGTGGATGTCGCTTTTCCCTCCAAGTACACAACATCTGGTCCTCAATGACAGCAACACCTGCCTAGGCTCTGTAGCTGTCCATAGGATACAACACAAGCTGCGACTACTGTCAGAGGACATGTTCCCACTACTAGCCGACCACTATGAGGGGTCACAGGTCAGTTGTGACTGCCGGTGAAAAATTGTTGTCATTAGTCTTGAATAATAAACTTACACGATTACTCTATCTCACCTCCATAGTAAACTCTCCCAATAATCTTAAGTAGTAAATATATTCTTTTACTGCCACATAAACGTTTGGAATCATAGCAAAGTTATTAAATAGTTTTAATTAGTTTTCCAATTTAAAACCTTGATGTTCAGGTTTAATCTGTTGTGTTTAATTATTTTCTCAATTTCCATTTTTTAGCGTCTCTAATTTCAGTCATCCATCATCAAGATTTTTGCATTTTTTCCGTATTTTAAACATGCAGTTTATTTTTTTAAATAACTCAATATGCAGCAAGATCAAAATACATAGCTTATTCCTTAGTCGATGATTCTGAGTTAACACCTCTTGAGGAATCGTTAAATACGGCCAATCACCAATAGATTTCTTTCTTTGTGATAATGCAGCGACCCTCTAGGATTAGCCCTAAGTAATGTGTTAAACAGTTCTGGGCTAGAACCTAGAGTCCTAGGATCTAAAGTTGGGAAGGTTAAAAAAATAATAAAAATAAAAGTAGAACCCACATAAAAAGGTATAGCCCGCAAACCACTTACTTTTCATACCAAATTTATTAGGGTAGGTTTCAAAGACAGTTACACCTTGATAACAAACTCAGAAGCAATATTTATAGTTGCTTATGATTATAATTGAGCACATGTTGTTTTGAAAAATTTTTGATTTTATAGTTTTCTCAATTCAGATACAAAATTGCCTTTTATTTTTCACTCCACATAGCTACACCACAAACAAAATTATACTTTTGGAAACAAACACAATAAGCTTAGTGTTATTGGTCCAACTTAAAAGTAAAATTATATTACAAGGTTTTAAATTCTGTACTAATTGGATCTAAGACATGTTTTATAAAGTTTCAATTTACTTACTGTTTGAATTTTTATAATTTTCCTTTAGAATGGCTCGATATCAAAACACTCAGAAGAAAACAACCTTGATAAACTGAAGGGATCTTTCGCCATACTTCCTGGCCAGACGCTCAGCACGATTCATCTCCGGCCGCAGAAAATCTTAGATTGGTGAGTTGGTTAAGTTTTTACTGTACGACACTCATAACAATACAATGCTTCGTACTTGAATAAAAGTTTTGTTGATTGATTGCAGGTCCCCGAAGTTGCAGATGATGCCTCAAGCTTGGCGACAGGAGACTTTGTCCGTGGAAGGTTTCCCAGATGAGTTGGCTGCACTGAGACAACAGTTGGCAACATTGCCAGAGGACGGAGAGTACCCTCACGTAGTATTCCTAGGCACAGGCTCTTGTATTCCCAGCAAGACAAGAAATACCAGCGGCATTCTGATAAATCTCAGGTGGGTTCGGCTTTCTTACTAAAACTCTTTTGTTGGGGGGGAAATTTATATTTTACATTTCTCTTACTTTCAATTAAATCCTGGACTGGGGACAGAAGTTCAACTTGAAAAGCATTGACCATCTTTTACTTCTCACCAATTATAAAATTATCAACATCTTAAAGAGAAAATAGTATTTTGACAATATGACACTTTGTGAACAGACTGTGTTTTTAATGTTCTGTGTTGCTAAAAGCACTGTGAACCGAATGTGTAGTCCATGAACAAAATTAAATCTTTGTGAACAGTTCATTAAAGTACAGTAAACCTACGATTAACCAAAAGAATGAGGGCAAGGATGTTTTGGATAACGTATTTTTCAGATTGATTATTGGTTGGAATTTAAAGGCTTTGCCAGTTCAAAGTGATCTAGGCCTACGATAGTAGTATTTTATGTTATTTTAATGTCTGTCATCTAAAAATATACAATAATATAGAAAACAATTTTTTTAAAGTAATCAACAGTCGTTTTCTGAACTTTATCTCTATAAAAGTTTGAGACCCATGTCCTCTGCTCCATTACATTTTGTTGACCAGCGCCACAGCCGACAGTTCCTGTCGCCTAGTTAATTTTTTAATTGATATCAATTTTTTATCATTGTTTTAGTTCAAAGGGATGCTGTTTGCTGTTAATAAGGTGTTTTCCGTATGTTCCATTTGAATTTAAAATTGGCTACAGCTGGTCTATGTAGATGAGATGTCTATCCTAGAATCCGAATGACAATTATGAAACCATAAGAGAATTGCACCTTACAATATTTGTAGTATAGGAAGTTCAAAAAAGTATAAATACAGTAGTTGTGATCAAGTAAATATTCATCTTACAAGTTACAATTATATCTCTTATCCACTTAAATGGTTATTTGACATTTCTAGATTTATTAGTAGAAGCCTAGCTGGCCTACAAAAACCTACATCTTTTCTATATCTTGTGGGACATTATTTTAAATTGACTGTTACAGCCCTGGGTGGATTCAGTAAGTAGAAAAAAGGGAATTGGAGCTGCTGTGAAATATTTGCATGTGGTACTACAGCTAATGTGGGCTAGGGGTATGGAATCATCCCAGGGAAGGCTCTGAAAAAATAACATTGAATTTCAAAGCAATCTGAAGCCAATTTAAACCTTACCATGTCTACTTTGTTTTTGCTCTTATGAACATTTATTATCCAAAAGGGAGGAAGGGGAACAGTCACCCCCTGAATCCTACCATGTTTTCAGTATGTAATATTTTATAAGAACAAGATAAAATCTAGTGTATTCAATTTATTCTCCATTTCAATCACAACTCAATTATTATTGTTATTTTTAAAATTAACAATCAGAACAAAACAAAAGTCTTTAACATCTGGAATGCAACCAACATTATAAAATCAAATGCTGCTTCTTGTACAATTAATATAAACATATATTACACTCGCCAACACTTAAAATTTGCTTGGCTCATAATACTTTAAAACTTTAAAATTTCTTCTGACTCTTTGGCTTCTCCAACTTTATAGATCAAATTTCTCCGGCTTGTGCACAGTCCTCTGTGATCTCCTCAAAACTGTAGATGGACTGTATTGCACACCCCGTGGTTTCCCAACATCAGACTTCAATCTAGGCAAATAAGGTGAAGCATCATGTCTTGATATTGATGGTGATGTAGACTCCTGAAGAATAGGCAAATCTCTATTACATTCTTGTTGATGTGCCTCAATAGTCCTTCCAACTTCCTCTTTCCGCACAATGATTTTGTCCTCCTCTACCTCAGTTGGCCTAAGATGGTCTGCATGGCAAACTCTTGTTTTGCCAAGAACACTAACCAAATAAGTAACTGGACTTTTACACTGTAATATACGACCTGGAACCCAACTAACTTTCTCCTGTCTGACTGTTTTAACCAACACCTTCTGATTTTCATTAAAATATCTACACGCACCTCTATGCCTATCTGAGGCTCGTTTCTGCATTTCCTGCTTCTTCCTTGACTCGTCTAGTAGATTAGGTTTTAACATAGTCAATTTTGTTCGAGGTTTCCAACGTAAGAACAGTTCAGCCGTGCTCACACTGGTTACTGACGATGGAGTATAACGATATGCGAAAAGAAAGTTATCCAATTTATACTGCAGTGATGTCTGCTGAGATGATTTTTCTCCCAAAACTTGCCTTAACAAACTTTTCTTAACTTCTTGAACAGAACGCTCGGCTGCTCCATTGGAGGCAGGGTGATATGGTGGAGAAAATGTTAGTTTCACACCATTTTTTCTAAGAAACTCTCTGAATTCTAGACTGGTAAAAGACGTGCCGTTGTCACACACCAACTCCTCAGGTAAACCGTAAGCAGAAAATAGTGTACGAAGTTTCTCAATGGTCTTCCCCGTGGAAATAGAACCCATTAAAAATACTTCCATCCACTTTGAAAAACTATCCACTACAATCAACATTTGCTGTCTGGTGGTTGGATCTTCAGCAAAATCGATATGAATTCGGCGCCATCTCTCGGAAGTTAACGGCCATTGCTGCAATGGAACTTTTGAAGCAGCATTTCTTGTACTTCGACAAATCAAACAAGATGACACAGCATCTTGTTCATTGTTAGGTCCGTTTAATTTGACTGCGCCATTGTAATATTTTATAAGAACAAGATAAAATCTAGTGTATTCAATTTATTCTCCATTTCAATCACAACTCAATTATTATTGTTATTTTTAAAATTAACAATCAGAACAAAACAAAAGTCTTTAACATCTGGAATGCAACCAACATTATAAAATCAAATGCTGCTTCTTGTACAATTAATATAAACATATATTACACAGTACAGCTATTCTTTTTTCTTAATAGGCGTCTTGAAACCTTACATTTGCCTGTCCACATAGGCCTCGGACCCGTCGGTGAATTGCCCACAAAGCAAGGGGTGAGTCAGTTCAGTACAAGAGTTTAAATGTACTGATAAAATGTAGCGGTGGGTACCAGTATCCTATTCCTAACCCACAATATAACTGTCGTGGAGCCATACTCCGTTGCGCTACAGACTCACCAGTAATACATACAAGTTAATAAGTATAATTTGTCTCATTAGACTTTATAGACAATTTAAGGAAACAAGTGTGTCATGTAGTGTTCAAAAACCAGAAATGTATATGTTATGTTACAGTGAGTCGACCTCCATGATAATGGATTGTGGAGAGGCGACATACGGACAACTAGTCAGGATGTACGGCTGTCGGACTGGTAATGTCTTGGAAGGTATGTACGATTTGTACAATCGTAGTGGTTGTATGAACTAAAAATCTCTCATCTCGAAAACAAAAATTAAAAATCAGTCTCGAATCTCAAACTCAAAGCCTAAAACTTTTTACTAGCCTGGTTGAGGTTACAAAAAATGCAGGTAATACTGCATTGTTGTTACGAACCTTTAAAAAGCTACTGACTTCTTAGGATTGAACCGGCAATCTTTTGGTTATGAGACTAAATAATATCACATTTAAATACCTGTAGTAATAAAATACATTAGCTTTTTATACTTCAGCACTGAAATGTTTTGGTTTAACTGTAAGTGTGGTTGTCAGGTCTGCGAGCTATCTACGTGTCTCATCTACACGCAGACCACCACATAGGGTTGGTGGCGCTGCTGAGAGCTTTGCCGAGGTCTGGACGTCCTATCTACCTAATGGCTCCCAAACAGATCAGGACTTGGCTGACAACCTACCACAGACACATTCAGCCCGTCATGCACGGAGTTAAACTGGTGCCTAACGATCAACTGGTGAGTTGGACAATATGTAATGTTGGGTATAATTGGTCAGGAAACGACCATGTCAAAATAAAGTCCTACTCGTCAACGTTTTTGCACAGTTGACCACGAATCCACAGTATGTGACAGTGGAAGCCATATGAAAAAATATGTCGTGTAATAATTGTAGACTGTAGACCCTCATTTACAGTAGTTATTATCTGGTGGTTAAGAGTTTAAGTTAACTCAATGTGGTTAAGAGAGGTCTTAACCAAGCCTGGATAAATCATTGGATAAATCCTCTACCAATTATCAATTTACTGGTCATACATTTTGAAACTGGTTGGGTTAGGCCTAATTTATTTTAACTAAGTGTTGTTCAAATACCTTTTCAACTTTGATGATTAAAAAGGTTACTGGTTGTTACAGACAACTCGATGTAGTGCCATATCGCATATCACTAGTGTGCAGTTATAAGATCTTTGCTCAAACATTATTGATTGTTTGATTTGGTTTCGTGAATAAATATAAATAATAAGAATAAAAGAAACAATTTATTTCTCTGAGGTTAAGGATGTAACATATAACACGAGAGCCTAGGTTTTAAGCCTGCTATCCTAACAAAAATCCTATACAAGTGTTATTCTTGTTGTGCAGCTGTACAACAACGCAACACTAGACTCGGATGTTGAGGCTGGTCTACTTGATGCTCTGGGCCTCGCCCAAGTGCGGACCTGCACAGTGACTCATTGTCCGAATGCCTTTGGTTTCGCCATCACCCACCGAGACGGCTGGAAGATCACATACTCGGGTGACACAATGCCTTGCGATGAACTGGTCAAACTGGGCAAAGACAGTCACTTGTTGATTCACGAGGTAGGTCTTGGTTATTGATTAAAGAATCCCTGGAGGCTGGCGGCCATCTTGGGTTAATTTCAAATAACTGCGGACAAACTGTTTATCATCCAACAATATTTTTGCAAACACCAAAGTGATTATGATTTTACCATCTCAAAATATTTGGATTTTAATTCAAATATCAAGGACCCTGATAACAAATTTTATTTTTGTTTTGTTATTTTATGAGTTGGCACGGCTAGGATCCAAGAACTCTTAAGTTAGAGAATTGACTTTTGATACTGCAGTAGACTTCCCATCTCTTATGGACTAGCTGAAGCTATTTTTTTACACATATATAACATAGTTGTATGAGCTTCTCCCAGTTATACAGGGTGTTTCCAAATTGTCTGGACATATTTTGTGGACTTGTTCCTTGGGCTAAGACAAACATAAAATGCCATATAAGTATGGGTCTAAAATGCCTAGATTTCTGTTTGTGATTTTTAAGAATTATTTCATATCTTGGGCATTTTTCAAGATAGAAAATTCAAAATTAGTATAAATGTGTATTTTAGTAGGTAAAAAGAGCTGACAAAGTTTTGTTTCAATATCTCAAGCTGTTTCAATATGTCGGCCATTTAAAATCTTTAATGCCAAATTTCATGAAAACTGTAAATATTAAGAAAATTGTTTTTCAGATCAAAAAGATAGAAAATTTAAATCCAAATCAATTGAGACATTGTTTGTTAAAATCGGATGACAAAGACCGAATTATCAGTTTTTTTCTACATTCGGTTACGCAATTTAATAGGACTACCATACTGCTCTGTAAAATAACAAAAACAAATAATAAACAATACATTAGATATAAAATACATGAAATAGCAGTAAAACCTGCAGGTAGTTTAACAGTCATTGCAAATTTTCTATTTTAGGCTACTATGGAAGATGATTTAGAATCTGAGGCCAAAATCAAAATGCACTCCACAACAAGTCAAGCCATTGAAGTGGGAAGACGGATGGGGGCTAAATTCACCCTCTTGACTCACTTCAGCCAAAGGTATGTACTGTAATGAGACATATAAGTAGTGAATGTTGTTTGCAGTGCTCTTAAAATTAAGAACTATAGTATATTTCTTAACAAGAGTAGAAAGTAAATCATTACTTATTTGAGACCATGTTTGAAGTGGGAGATTTATCGACCATGGTCTGGAATATGTATAGTTTCACTTGTGTTTTGAACATTACTTTTTGCTACACTACAGAGACTAATTATTTTCTTGGTTAAAACAGACATTGTATATTTCTTTATTACAGTTAGGACAAGGCCACACTAAAAAACAGGCCGTAATGCTCGTATTTTTGCCGTTTGTGATCAGCTGCTTGTTTTAATCTTTTTGTGGAAAACAAAAATATAACCTTAATTACGTCATTGCCGTCTTCTATCGTGACGTCATGATTGACGAGCATTACGGCCTGTTTTTTTAGTGTGGCCTTGGTTAGGACCATAACAAAACTCATAAATTTTTTTAGGTTATGCCTTAAATTTAAAGTTAACTTTACTTTGGTTGTACAGTTTTGGTTTATATTTTATTCAAACAGTTGACAACACAATAACAAATCTTTGTTTGTTTACATCGGCAAAATCCGAAAAAGATAGAAAACATTACTTTTGCATAGTAAACATTCTTTTTCCGTTGTAAACAATGTAATGATGAGTTGTCGCAGGTGTTAATGTAACAAAAACACATCATTGTACAGTAGTGTAGCTAAAAAGACATACAAATTGTATGTTGTTAATGATTAAGATGAACAGGGTTATAGGCAGGCTTACCAAGTGGATTTAAAATATACTCGTGAACAAACGGAGAACACATAAAAAATACATGGGATTGTTTGAACGCTATTCATTTCTTCAGTTGTTGAGACTGTTCTTGGCGTGTTTTATTAATTAATGGTCTCTGATTGATATGAGATCTAATGATTACCACAATACTAAAGTGTCTTGCCTGTGCAAACCATGCCAAGTTTTTTTGAGTACCAGTCTTACCGTTGAATAAAAGTCTGTGACCTTGAATTTCACAAAGTACATCGATTAGCTAGGTAGCACTTTTGTTTGTTTAGTACACATGTAGTTTATTTTAAAAATTGCTTTTCGGATGGTGCTTCAGTGAATTAAAATGTAGGCTACTGTTTCAAACTACTTAATTTTTAATTTCCTAATAAAAGTCCTCTTAATCTGTCCTAGGTATGCCAAGGTGCCTGTATTCAGTGAGAGCTTTACGCCCGATGTCGGCATCGCATTTGACAACATGAAAGTTCGGTTCTGTGATATCCCCAAGCTACCTAAGATGTACAACGCCATGAAGCTCATGTTTGCCGAACATTACGAGGAGATGGAGCAGAAAGCAATGAAGAGACAGCTGACACTGGAGCGAGAACAGAGAGCAAAGGGTCTTGTAAACTAGTAAACAATGTTGGTACAACTTGTTGTGTTTCAGATAGCCTACTTCCCTTTTGTCTTATTGGTGTAGTTATTAAGTTTAGAAATGTAAAGAGAAGTTAAAACACTACTTTTGGAACCGAGAACATAAACAGTTGGCCACATTTTTGTGAATTACTAATCAGTCTAATTCAAATTTATTTTGGATGAGAAAATGCATATTTAAGTCTCGCTATTCTGTGATTTTTATGTTGACCATGTTTTTTTTTTAAGAGGTTGTCAACCTTTTTTAACCTTGTACTTGCCCGTCCACATAGACTGTGGGTGGAACTTATCCAGGAAAACAAAGGGTCAGCCGGTACAGTACAAACGCCTAATCCAACAGTGTGCATTGGACGAGGCAGTTAAGAAGCACAATATTTATAGCAACTATATCGTATTTGGTGAAGTGTACTGATAAAAAGTAGTGGCAGGTACCAGGATCCAAACCTTTGATATCACTGCCTTGGGCCTCAAGTACTGGGGCGCTGTCAATTAACTATAGCCTCCTCTAATACAAGGCCGCGGTGAGAATAAAGTGGCAACACCACTGTCCCATCAAAACAAAACAGCTGTTGCACTAATGGACAGTATAGGAAATGTTTATGCTTACACTTTTGTTATTTGTTATTTCTGTTATTAACATGGCAATATAGGCAGGACATTACACACACCAACGCCGCGACCTTGTGTTAGAGGCTATGATTGCCCTAATATTAATATTTAGTTTATCACCAGTTAAAACCAAAAGTTTAACTTAACTAAAAATTAGCTTTTTACTATTTTTGGCAAGGATTATTCCAACAATCAATAAAGGTCAATGAAACAAGGGAGAATGCATCTCTAATAATTATAACATCTCAAATCTTTATCTCAATTTAGTATTTTGTTGTGCAATTTAACACAATTCTATTTTATTTCAAATAGCCTAACTCGAAATAGAGCAAAATTATGATTAATCTTAGTAAGCATTGACTTTTGGACACTAATGTTTGGACATTCCACCTTATGTAACTCACAGAATGTGCAAGTCAAAAGTGTTATTTTTCTGCCTTAATTTTTGTTACTGAGGTAATTTAGTTGATGATACATTAAAGATACTAGCTAATAATATGTTGTCTTGTTTGGAATACAAGTTGGCATGTTCCAATATGGCATGAACACTGTTTAAGATGTATACATGAATAACAAATTCAAAACATTTTTATTTTTGGGGCTACTATACACAAGGGAAAAACTAATTAGAAAATACCACTTAAAAATTTTATTAAAACAAACAAAGTATAAATTTGCAATACAACTAATGTTTGTTAAAAAAATCACACTCACATTTCGTCACAACGGTCTCTGCAGGAATTACACCTTAAAATATTTTACAGTAAAAAAACTCAAGATATTAAATGTGTGCTTGAAAATAAACTAAACTCAACTAAGATGGCAAACTCATAAATTAAAACTCCTAAAACACAAACCGTTAATTGTTTCAAACAAAATATAATTATAGTATTTTACAAAATGTGGATTGGGGTGTAGAGAATAGATACAGGCATAATCAATAGATCACATTTGAAAGTATTGTACATGTTGAGAAAAAATATCTAAAGACCTGTCAGCTGCGCAAGGTGTTGTGGCATCATTCAGTTTATCAGGTTGCCTTTTTGCCAAGAGCTCGCTGCGTTTGCGCTGTCTTCTGCTTCACAAGATCGTCTTTTGCTGAAAAGATAAAAAAGGACAATGAATGAAATCAGCTGCAAAGAAGTTTGTGTTTTTTAAAAGAGCAATTATATCGAACAATAGAAAATTTTTTGGGGGGAAAAACATTGCATATGGTGCTACACAGGTGTATATAGAAACGGGTTTTGCCTTTCCATATGGTGTGTCCGGATATATAAACACCTATGTGCTGAAAACTAAAATTATGTGTTTTTATTTTATGTAAAAAATCACAGTTTTTGTTGTGTGTGTCAAGAAAGGTCGTAAGTGTAGTGTAGGTCATAATAAAAAAATATACCCACAGTAGATGGTTCAAAACTATTGTTAGAGATTACGACAATGATCTGAAACACTGCGAGTATCACAAATCACTGCGCCAAAACAAAATTGCTAAAAACTAAAATACCAGAAATAATTCAAACAAAAATACCATAATGATCAGGGGTCATTCAAAATCAGTTTGCTAACTTAAATAAAATGAATAGCCAAATAAATCATTAGGAGTTCTAGCTCAGCTCCTTTTGCACTATTTACACTTTATATTAGGATCAACGTTTCCAAAAGAACTTTTATACTTTAAAGGAAAGCCAAATGGGTGGTAGGATTTTCTTAAAAAGGATATTGTTTGACCCCTTTTAAAAAACATCCAAAAACATTTGTTGTAGTATGCTGTTTTTGACACCCCCTAAACTCTATAAATTGTGGATAATGATGTAGTGTAAGCACTAATAACATTTACAAATGTAGTTTTAATGTAGTAAAAGTTAAATGGAGATGTATGAATTTGTATTTAACTTTCTTAGATGTTTACAAGTTTTCAGCTTTCTGCAAATTCCCATACACTCTTAAAACTGGTTCTTGAGATGGTTTATGGATTGGCATTTTAATTTTGGTGTGGTTAAAATCAGCATGGTGGTAAAAAAGCCTAAGATAAAATATCTTACTACGGAGCGTTTCATGTGTTCTGAGATTTTTAAGAGTGCTAGAGTTGCTGAAACTACATTTAACCCATTGGCGCCGACTTACGAGAGCCGCTCGTGTCACCGCTAGGCAGCGCCATTTTTTATTTAGTTATTATTATTTTTCGCCCTTTTTGTTTCTTCTTACTATTATAATGTTTATAAATATCTTGCTTCTTGATTAGCGTATTTACTCATTTATTTTAGCGAATAACAAACAATTTTGTGTTGCCATGGAAACCACATATCACCAAAAATCAGCTGCGGTAAGGTAAACAAACAATTTTTTAAAAATGTTATTACTTATAAAAGTACACAACTTTTGATTTTTCTAAGGGAATCGATCGACCTTTATAATAGTAGTGTTATTTGGTGTCTGGATTAATCTTGGTATTTGTATATCAAGTTTACTTCCAAAATATTGTTTTTAAAATTTTTATTTTTATAATCTTTATATATATATATTTTTTTAGTTTAGAACTTTTACTATCCAATTAACACTTTTCTGTAGACAATTTTACTGTGAACAAAATGGTGAAAGAATTATTAATTTATTACCTAAGGTTTTCTTTCTATAGCAGTTAGAGTAAAAGTCTGCAAATTCGGTAAAATTAATTGCCGACAGAGGGTGCTGCAGGTAGCGGATTAATTCCTTCCCCAATGGGTTAATATGCTTAATGGCTTAAGCCATTAAGGACGCTCTGTAACGTCAGTGATGTTGATTATACCTTTCTTTTCCTCCTCCCGTCTCTTGGCTGCCTCTGCTCGTTGCTGTTTGACGATTGCCAGCCGTGCCAGGTCCGCTCGTGCCTGCTCGGTCTTGCCTTCCGCATGCAGCTTCTGGTAGTGAGCCGTCGCTCTCTGTTTCTCAAGCTCCTCTCTGCAACAACGTCCTTTTAGTTTGGATCTTATACTCACGGTACTTGGTAGTAAATAAATCTACTTGTGCAAAACAATCAGTGTTAAATTAGAGACAACCTAAATATTAAGAACATAAGACTTTTTAATTGTTATGAACGTTTTAATCAGTTTATACCTATAATATTTTGGTAATAATTGGGTATCATATTATATTTTAGATTTTGTGATAAATCACAAAGAAAGCTGGTTACAACATATTTTCAGCGCTTAGCTTGAATTTCAAGCTAGGTTTTTGTTAATTCAATGTTTTCATCAAGTGATGAAGAGTTATTTTTGCTTGAAAATGTCAAATTAAAAATGTGTAGATTAGAATGAAAGTCGGTGTTCGTGTAACTATCCACGGAAGAGGTTTTTGTGGAATACCACCATCTATTTCCTCGATTGACATTGGACAAAGTGAAGTTTTCTTTTCTTTTATGAGAATGGAGTTAACCACGTTTAGTTACATCCTCAAGAAACTCTATTAGCATGTAGTTTTTGAGGTGTTTGTCCCAAATAGCCCCTCTTCTAAAGACTTGAGATATCAGTTTTCATTGACATCCATACTGCACAGTTGTTTTTCACTGGCTGTTTCGGTCAACAAGAGCCGGAAAACAAGTAGGTACAAAATGTTCTTGCATTTTATAACTAGGTTTTTTATAAGTGTATTCTGATAAACTTTGAATGAATGAATGAATGAATAAAGTGCTTTATTTTAAAATAAACATTCCCCTCATAAACATAATCAAAACACTTAATAAACAATGGTCTACGACCGTCTGTTTGGTTGGCACACCTGGAAAACACATTTATGAAAATGAAGTTGAAACAAAATACACTTAATAACATACACAAATTTACATACAATTATACATCCATTTTTAAACTAAACTTAAAAAAAAAAACCTTTTTCATAATATTGTTTACATAACTTGTATTATTTCACTTTTAAAATTATTAGGTTTTAAAAGGTTTACGCATAATGAAATCTATAAAAATTACTATGAATATTCAAGAAGACAGGCTGACAATTTATTTGACATATTTATTGTTTTGCTATAATTTATAAATTAGAAAGAGAGCAGTTATAAGGGATAAACGGTGCGGCAACGTGGTCTCGGCTAAACCAGTGTGGACTCGATAGTGGACAGTGAGTGACTAGTGGATTTACCATCATTTGTCTAGTGGATTTTAAGTGGTCATAGGACAGAATCAAAAATCGATAAATATTTTACACCAGTAAATAGGTCATTCAAACGGCAGAGATCTTATTCGTCGCCGGAGTGTGCAGACGACGTCGAGACGGTAACGGCCATCATGGGCAGCGAAGAAAAGGTAGGCGATATTACACGATCCCAACTTCTGAAGGACTTGGGCCAGTTGCTTGATAGTAAATTAGAAAATATGGCAACCAAAAAGGAGTTCTCTCAACTCACGGGGCAAGTGTCGGAGTTTCAAAAGGAGAATATTGTACTAAGGAAACAAATAGAGGACTTACAACAGAGAGAGAGTGTGGTTATGTCTAGGTTAGTCGATCTTGAAGGAAGATCTAGGCGTAACAACCTCATATTTAGGGGGTTGAAGTGGTCCAAGGAAACACGTAACTTCAATGAAATCGTGCGAAAGTTTTGCAACGATGTTTTCGGGAGTGTGGATACTATAGGAGTTCAGGTACAACAGCAATAATTCAGATGGTTGAGTCCCTGATTGACAGCCTAGATGAAGGAAATCTAACAACAGGAATCTTTCTTGATTTCAGTAAGGCATTTGACTGCCTTGACCACCAGCTAATCATTAAAAAGCTGTATTCCCTGGGGGTATCAGGGATAGTAAGAGAATGGTTTCAAAGCTACCTTACAGACAGGATTCAGTTTGTAGAACTAAGGCACAGAGACAACAGCGTAATAAGAAAAACAAGATCAAATTTTCAACCAATAAATTGAGGAGTTCCCCAAGGTTCAGTTATGGGTCCGGTACTGTTTATTCTTTTTACCAACGATTTGCCGCAACAAATAGGAGACGCCTGCCTTACTCTTATGTATGCTGATGACACAACCTTAGTGTTTAATGAACCACTAGCTGAAAATCTAGAAGTAAAATCCTATGTGTCACTCAGTATGGCCTACCAATACTGCTATAACAATGATCTCGCAGTCAACACGTCTAAAACAACTCAAATAGCTTTTGGCCGTAAATTTTAAGAAGTGCCACGACTCCCAGATGTAGAAGTGGAAGATGAAGCTAAGTTTTTGGGCATCACACTCGACAAGAATTTAACCTGGACCCCTCATGTGGACAATATATGTAAAAAATTAAGTTCAAGCATCTATGCTCTTAAACATATAAAAAATGCAACAGATGACATGACAACAAAAGTAGCATACTTTGCACTTTTCGAGTCGCATATGAGATATGGACTTGTAGCATGGGGTGGAACCTCTGCCACTAACATGCAAAGAGTTCTCAGAAAACAAAAAAAGGCAGTCAGAATAACTGCAGGACTCCACAGACTCGACAGCTGCAGGGAAGCATTCAGGTCACTCAAAGTACTTACCCTTGTAGCACTCTACATCCAGGAAGTTGTGTTATTTGCAGTAAGAAATAACCCTACAAGGCGTGGCGAAATGCACCAACACAACCTGAGAAACACCATGCAGTACAACCTTCCACAACATCGCACGGCACAGTTTGAAAAGAAACCTTCATACGCAGGAATGAAAATCTACAACAGGCTACCTCCAGATCTAAGAAGCAAGTCAGAAGATGTCCTCAAACCAGCTTTGCATCAATGGCTCATTAATCGACCTTTCTATTCCTTAGAAGAATACCATCAACAGGTCTTTGACTAAACAACACCTCAACCAAACATTTAGAAAAAATTGTAAATTGACGCTACTACTATTCTTAATGAATGTGTAAATAAAGATTATTTGTCTATTGTCTATTGTCTATATTTGTTAATAGAGCCCACCCTCTAGGGGGAAGTAACAATGCAATCATTGCACACCTACCAAATGACGCCGACATCTACTATATTATGTCACGTGTAAGAGAGTTAAAAGGCACCGGTTATTCTGATAAACTTTGATTAACTTGTGTCTTGGGGTTGTTGACAGTCTCAGGAATGATCAGACAAAATGTTATATTTGTAATACAGTATGAAAGTTTACTTTTACACAAGAGTATTTAGGACCTGAAATATGTAGTCTACTCTTAAGATAGGTGCATGTTTACATATTGACAGGTATACCAAATTACACTAGCAAAAAGGTTTACTAGGCCCAGGTTATTTTATTAACACCAACTGAATGCGTTTTATTCGTTATAATTTATAATGATATTATTTTAATTTAGGTTTTTTACATACCTCAGTCAAATAGTCCAAAAATGATATTGCTCAACAGCACCAGTCTGCTACCAGCCCCGCGCCGCGCCGAACCAAATCAGTATTATGATAGCGCTATCTAAATGTCAATCGTGTATTTGTACCGTATTAATGTTTTCTGTGTTCGTGTTTTAAATGTGTTTTTGACGAGTTGCAAGCTTTGATAATGTTGTCTTCGCAACGAAACATGTGTAAGCTGTTGAGCAATATCATTTTTGGACTATTAGACTGAGGTATGTAAAAAACCTATTATTGTCTTAACAATTTAGTCCAGGGGCCGAAAACATGAATTTTGATGTTATTTTATTGTTATTTTGTCATTATGTCTACTCACCTTTCTTTCCTCGAGAGTTCTGGTTTTGTGTTTTCGTTTACAACTTCATTTAGTTTGGACAATTTCTTCGCTTTCTTCTGTACTCTGTTGGGATTCTCCACCTCTATCAGTTTTTCTACGCCCTTCCCCTTTCCCTGTAAAATGTTGAGAGTGATACACCTTAAATAGATAATGGTTGTTAAGGAACCCTTCGTAAACAGACATTAGTCAAAAGTATGTGGAAATATTTAATGCAATCAATTTTGTAAATGCACATCAAAAAAGTCTACCTTGAAATTATCAAGATTTAAGAGAAAATGTTAAATTCATGTACTATTGTAAATAGTGCTGGATACAATTAGTTAAAAAATATTTTGAGGGTTTTAAACCATAATAATAGGTTCTAATAAACGGCCCCGCAATGTACAGGAGGTCAATATCATCAAAAATATTTGACCACATTTAAATAATTACCCGTGAAAAATTTTTAATTTATTTCACTGAATTTTGTTCCTAAATATTTCAAATCAGGGTTTATTGGTTGTAGGTTAAACAGGTAAAAAAAACACAGTCATTATTTCTGGCATTTTGTTGATACAGTGGCTAAGTTGTGGATAATTTAGTATCAGAGCTGTTCATGTCAAATTTATCTCTTACTCATTCTTTAATGTGCAAGATATCACTTGTGTTATATTTAATACACTAAAACCAGTGATTCCAATCAAATGAGAAAATGAATTAAACATTTAAAATTAAATTATTAATGAATTAATATTACAAGCTATTAATAAATTATTACACCCAATGTTGGTTTCTTATTTTAAATCCAAATCCAACCAAATGGATGGAAAATAATCACCTCTTCCTCGCTTTCGCTTTCACTTTCAGAGGTTGTTTCACTGTCTGAACCCTTCTTCACGTTTGTAGCCGCATCTTCTTCTTCTTCGCTGGATGATTCCTCGCCTCGTTCTGCCTTCAATCACATAAAAAAATTCACAATCATTTATGCCAAATGTGGTCTGCTAAGAATCCAATTAATATGAAACGTGTGTATATTATTTTAATTCTTTTAACAGTTCAGGTTATCATTGCATTGCATTTAAACACTTAAGTGTCTAGATACTTTTTGTTACAAATTCAGAGTAAACTTATCAAATAATTTACTTACCCTCCACTTTCTTTCTTTTTCTTCTCTTCTTCGTTGCTCCTCCAACTCTTCGGGGTTTGTAAACCTCCGGTTCCTTCCCTTGTGGTTGGTGTATTTACCTACAATTTATTAAAAATATTGTTTTAGTAAATAAATATACCCCACAGTAAACCTGCAGACTAGGCGAATTTCAATTTACCTGGCTGGATTTCTGCTCAAATATTATTTTAAAATTGTCATATTTACTTCGTAATTAAATTACCTTGAATGTTTAGGTTTGCTGCTACAGGGAAGCGAGCGTTTTATTTGAAATTTTCATAGCTTAGTATGAAAAAAAATACCCCCTCCGCAGCAAAACTGCAGACTAAAAATTTTCCATTTTACCTGATTGGATTTTAAATTAAACCTAGCGTCTGTAATATACGGTATATCTTGAAATCCAGCGGAAGGATTTTGACTAAATTTTGTAATTATTAGGGACTTAGGCCTATAGCCTTAAAAACGTGATTGGCAACAGCCACTACCACAAGAAAATTTGTATTTCGCTACACAACTTATTTAAAAATTTAGCACTGGCCTTATGGGTTGCCAAGAAAATACCGGTATGTTGGCTGAACAAAATAACAAGTAAAGAGTAAACAAAAGACTTGTAACATGTTAAGTAACAAGCCATCCACAGAATACTAGAAAATTAAAATACCGAACAGTACAAAGTGATAAACATCAGTTGTAACCATTGAGCAAAGATTACACACTGAATATTAGCCTACCCGATAGTTTGGGGAAAATAGAACAAGTCAGTGCTAATTAGAGGTTTTTTGTCCGTGACGTTTAACTGCACTGGCGTCAACTCAATGGGTATTTATTGCGGTTAACATGACCATAGGAACGTGACCATGGGAACCTATATAGATCTATACAGTATATCACCAGAAACAAGGTTTTCAGCTGAAAATAATGGTGCAAAAATGTCTCTGTGCTCACAAACATAAACGGAACTACGGCCATTTGAAGTTTTGTTTACTTTTGTAAATATACTAGGCCTAACATATTTGTTAGCCTACAATATTTCATCACCAGAAACTTTATATCTTACTTTAATTCTAAGTGATTAAAGTAACTATTAGAGCATTAGACTCACTTTTAACCTGAAACTAACGGTGCAAAAATTCTCAGAGGTCACGGATATTAACAAAGATAGTTTTAAAGGTTTTGATTTATCCCATTTCAATGAAAAGTATTTAAAGTATTCTCTTTACATTCTTGTCTGCTTACCGCATTACGATCAACGACCAACTAAAAGAAAAACTGAAAAAAATGGAAATACGAAAACTGAAGAGGAGAAGAGAAGAGTTTAAAAATAAGTTAATGCAAAGGCATTCAAATTACATGTTTTACAGACATCCAAAACACAACTGAGCACTGAATATTTCATATATCTTATCTAGGCATGGGTGGAAGGCAAGTTGGGCTTTATGCGGAGTCATGTTTGAATTTTTGAAATTGTTATTTTGTTGTGTTTAACCCACTATTTCAATAGCACAACAGCCTGTGTGTAATATAAATTATCAACATCATCTCTGTTCACTATAACCTGTACACTTTACCTTCCTAATCTAACCTAACTTCAAAACACTAAATACAGCCTTGAATCCGCATAAAGCCCAACTTGCTTTCCACACATAACTAAGCTGCCTAACACATATATTCCTTTTCTGTCATAAAAAGTAATCTTTATGTTTTACAGCAAGTTTGGTTAGGTTATGTTGGCTTAGAAACAATTTCATTTTATGATTAATTTTATACTATCTTAGTTGGTCTTTTGAAAGAGGTAGCTTATAAAAGTATTCTAAAGGTACATGGTAAAAACTTAAGCCAAACTAAGCTTGGCATAGATTATTGGAACTGGAACTGGATGAGTGGATGGATATCCAAATCTCTCTTGGCCACCTTCAGTAACATTCAGTTCAGTTGTCTAGATGGCAGTTTTGTTGTTTTTTGTTTCCCAAACTATTGATATTTTAAAATTAGCGTACAAGTTACTTACTTTTAACGGCCGTAGTTCCATTAATATTTGTGAGCGTAGAGAAATTTCCACACCTTTTTTCAGCTAAGAATCTAGTTTCTGGTTATATATAGGCTAAATATATATATAGGGCCTAGGCTACTTAGGTTCCAATAGTCACGTTAATCGCAATAATTACCACTCAATGTTTTACTCTTAAGGGTTGATTTTACAACCTGTGTTTTATAGTTCACATAATTTGGTTGTAGGCCTATTCATAACAAATTAAAATTCTATTAAAACGTAAATAATAAAAGCCAAAATGACTTGTAAAAATAGTAGGTTCCATTAATATTGCTCTTACAATTGAAATAAACTATGTTAAGAGATGTTTCAGGCCCCTCGGTACTATAGTCTGTCTAGAAAATAATTGTGCGGTTAGAATTCAACATATGATTTCCCTATCATAGGAAATCTCCCAATCATTTACCCTTTTCTAAACTGAAATCCCCAAACAATCATCTGTTTTATATTGCAGACATTGTTTTTAGGAAGTGTTTGTTTATTATGATTGAACTACCACAGAATAAAACTAGATGATTTATTTTAATTTGTTTCTAGTTTGGATTGTAATATCTTGGCACCTTTGGCCATTTCTAATTAACACTAATCAAGTAAACTCAGACGACTGCATAATATTAAATTGCACAAAATACCAACAGAATAACCAATCACAATGTTGGGCCTATTTAAACCACTAAATGTAATCAAATTGACACCTGTTGCAAAATTATGAACAGTAAGAACCAGCTGTAGGCTAATATGCGGTGGTGGAAGGGGCCAGGGCGAAAGCAGGGGAAAACAAAATTGTCCTTCAACCGCACATTAAATTCAAACAGAGTATATCCCAGGATAAACTGGCTGCACTTCAGTATCTGTCCTACTCTCATTCGAATTAAATATCAATATAGATTATTCTATATATCAAGAATCAAGAATATTTATTGTCATTGAAACACAAAAAACAGTGTATTGACAATCGTCACAACTTAGATCTATCATGAAATATACAATGTCATATACAAATATACATACATAGTCATATAATAAGAGAATAAACAAAATTGTTTAATACATAATCAAAATCTTAACACTAGACCTCAAAATTTTTTTGCATTGAATTTTGATATAGGCTATTATATCGATTATTTCATTTGGTTAGTTTTAGTTTAGGGTAACCTAACTAACCAAACTTAATTGAATGAAATAATCAATATATATATATCGATCGGGTACAGTTTCTTAGCTGGGCTACGCTAATATTGATTAACACTATCGATACAATTAGTAAACCTTCATTCGATTTTTTCATTGTTAGCAAGTTTGGTAGGCCTAAATGTTATGAAAGTTTCATTTTAAATAATTGATTACTGGTAGGTATAATTAAAATATTGATTACTAAACAATATTTTCAATAGATAGTTTCAATCGATAGTCGCGTAGCCCAGTTAAGAAACTGTACCCAAAGAGGGGCCTAGGCTAAGGACTACAAGTTTAGTTTACTTCTCTTCTAGCCTAGCCTTAGGCCTATCTTCTATTTTTTCCATCCACCAATCGATATAAATAGGCTAACCACCAAATTACTTGTTTAGACAAATCAGCAGGCAGCTTTGTTCCACAAATTTTGCTTAAATCCCGATTGCCTTGCCAACTCGTGACATTGATTCTGCTTATATTAACTTAACCTATAAAAAGTGGGCTAGATCTAGATGGGACCAAACTTGTTTAGAAATCTCTAACCTAAATTTCATATTGCTTTGATTTAAATTTCTGAAGTAAATTTTAAGGCGTTAACGAAAAAGAAATAATAAGATAATACATAATATAATAACTCACCTCTAGGCATGATGAAACTTTAAAAATTTATCAATTTCCACAGCAAGCACAGACAACTTTATTAGATACACGAAAATGGTGTAAAAACGCAACGTAGAAATATTTTTTCCGGTAACACTGAAACTGAGGGCAAATTAAAGCCAGTAAAAGAAGTGCTAAATGTACTATAAAGTTTGCTATAACCGCCACAACGCTTTTACATCAACATAATTAATCTATGCTTGAACCATAAACTAACCAACGCGAAGTAGACTTCTCATCCCATCGTACATTTTGAAGCCCGTTTTTTGTGTCTGGCTTATGACCGGTGACACCGATCGCTAGTGTCGACGAAATTTAGTTTATATTATTTTAAGGGTGCATCCATGATTTGGGCTTTACTTTTTGGTTATATTGCTAGGGGACGAGTTTTTGTTTACGGTTAGATTGTTTTATTTGGTTAAACGAGGTTTTAAATGTCTGGATTACCAAGAAACAAATAGTAACCAAAACACATCTACAGTGCACCGCACAGAACTAGCAATCAAATTGGTGTTTCTGAACGACATGCTTTTAGGCGAGGGCGAGGTGTTTATTCACGAAGATTATTGTGGGCTTCACTCCTTTATTTTTGTCTGTGACTGTGATGTCCGGGACTCATCAAAACACACACACACACACACACATATATATATATATATATACACACACAACACAAAATCGTCCACGGCATCAAAAGTCCGTGGAAAGTTCCTCTTCCTCAGGGTGGAAAAATACTATTTTTATGCCGCACGCGGGGCGAACGGCACAATTTTTATTTCAGCTGCAGTTTTGAAATACAGACAAAATGGGAGTTTAAAAATTAGAAAAAAAATTATTATAATACTAAAAAAATATAAAATTAAATTTTTAATTATAAAATTAAACTGTCATAACCTAACCTAACTAACCAAACTTGCTGATAATGAAAAAAATTGAATGAAGGTTTTCTAATCTAAAAAATAGTTCTATTCATAAAATAAAACTATAAATGCCTCAAATTCAATTTTATAATTATTTATTATAAAATTAAACTGTCATAACCTAACCAAACTTGCTTATCTTACTTGCAAAAATCTTAGACAAAAAGTTAGTGCCACCGATAGGATTCGAACCTGGTAGACTTCTCATCCCATTGTAAATTTTGAAGCACGTTTTTCGTGTCTAATTCATGTACGTGACACAAAGGCGCTAGTGTCGACGAAACTTTGTTTCCATTATTTTAGGGTTAATTTCTTGATTTGTGCTTTACTGTTTGGTTATATAACTAGGGGACAAGTTATTGTTTATGAATCGTATTATTTGGTTAAACGAGGTTTTAAATGGCTGTAATAACGGGAAACAAATTGTAAACAAAACACGACCTCTACATAAACCGTACATGAACTAACAATAAAATTGTCTTCAGCTGTTCCATAAGGATGAGAAATCTAGCTGGTACCTGGTACCTTCAGCTTCTCAACCCAGCATGTTATCCATTAGACCTAGACCACTCACTGAGGCCGATGGCTCCAACTCGTATCGTTACGGTAATGGTGTTCCCTCAGCCAATAGAATGCTCTCATTTTGCCCGTATTAAAAATACTGCAGCTGAAATAAAATTTGTGCGGTTGAACGCCTAACCACGACTGCCAGATCAGCTGAGCTTTGGAGGAGGACGGGCATGGGCAGGGGTAGGTGCATTGTTGATGAGCCATTCACGCTCCTGGCCACATCTCGTAGTTGTTCTCGTTCGTTTTTAACAATGTTTAAGTACACCGTAATGACATCCACCGATGGTCGTGAAAGTGGCTCGTCTTCTATTGCCATGAAAAGCTACTCTGCCGTATTTCGTTTCTTCCAATCAGACACCTTGTAAATAATTGCAGACGAACCCCAATCAACAATATGATTGAGGAAACGAAATACGACAGAGTCGTTTTTCACTCAGTGTAGTGGGGTCTTGCTTCACTGATCTTGCACTTGCATCCACTCACGAACCCGTTCATGCTAAAAGACGACGACGTTCACACAAAAGAAACCGATTTTTATTGCTGCTACCAAAGATTACACATGCTACGCAAAGATTTGTGAGTACAGTAGCATGTGTAATCTTTGCTGCTACGAATTGGAGTGACTGTGGAACTATTTTTAATGGCTATAGGAGAAAAAAATTTGCGAATCGTATATTGGATAAACAATATACAATATTATTCTTTATTAACATTAGTATCTTTGGATTTTGATTTTATATAGATAAGCAAAGTATTTTTTTATTCTTCCAATGACATAGCCAAAATAACGGAACATTAAATTCAAGAGCAACTGGTGGCCAACCTGTAGTGTGAGACTCTTGAATTGACCTGTCTACACACTATATTACCTCATCTACATTGTTGGACACAGACCTGGTATTGTTTGTCACACTTTTTCAGGTAGGACCTATTTATGTTTCTGTTACATATTTTTTCGATGAACTCTCCAGGGTAAAACAGTCCACATAGACACAGTTTTAATTTAGTAATAAATGCATCCTTGTGTAATGCTATGACATACTGTAAAATTTAAAAATATTTTTTTAAACTTATAATGAAATGTTTATATCATTAAGGATTTAAAATTTGTTTCTAAGTGACATTTAAGATTTTTTATTAAGAGCCTCACGCCCCACATCCAAAAATATTTATAAAAATACACGTAGGGAGGTCTTTTAGGAAAACAATTTAATATTTTGTTGTATAGTGGACTAAGATGATTGCATAATGACATGACAATGACTGGAGTTTTGTGTATATAAATCTAGTCTAGTGTACTTAATTGTCATTTGGCTGTAAACATTTATTTGTTTAAAAATATTTAGGCCAAAGCCAGGGGAAAATATTTTGAAACTAGGTACTTAATAGCTACAAATTATTAAAAGACAACATCTTCTTACATAAAAATATGTGACTGTGGTTGGTATAGTAGAATAACAAACTACTCAAGGCTATTAATATCTTATTAAAATGAAAGATTTTAATTACTGTTATTGAGATTTGAATACAGATGGTCCTACTACTTGCCTTTTTCTTTGCTTTTCTAGTGCATATAGAAATGAGTAGTGGTTGTACTTCTGGTAAGATTCCATTTTTCATTGTTATTCAATCCTATTTTCCTTTATTTGAAATGATATTCTTAAGTATTTTTTTTAGCTTTTCCGCCAGGTGAGCCACTATTTACAATGTCCTCAATTATTTGGCAATAAAGTATAATTTTTTTCTCAAAGTACTAACGATCTAAAACAGTGTTTAAATTCATAAATTACTAAAATCTTATATTACTAATTACTTGACAGAAACTTATCATCATATGTTTATTTTTTATCTCAACTACTTTGATTTTGATTTTAATGGTGCAAGAGACAGCTAATATAATTGAAAATTCGTAAACTTAATTTAATTGGATATAATTCTTTTTGTCTATGATATTAGGTAAAAATTAAAAATGTATCATTAGCTAATCCATCTTGTTCTTTCTATTATATTATTAAAGTGATACAATCAAATTTTATATAAAACGGTCAAGGTAATTTACCGAATAAAAATATAGGCATATGGCACATCAAAATGAAGCTAAGAATGTGTATATTTGCCGAAAAGTATTTTATATTTACGAACTTCCTAAGGGCTCTGCCCCACACGCTGATTTCCGAAGGGCTACGCCTGGCATGCTTCCAATGTTTAAATTATTTAATTAGTTAATGAACCAGCTAGTCAGTACAATTAACTAGTGTTTGTTTATTTACTCGAAAAAGAGGTTTGTGACGCTTTATGTAGATTGATGAGGGTTATGTTTGGTTTGAAAGTGAGGTTGTATACGTTTTGTAAAGTATTGCCATAGATAAAACAAAATTGCTCAACATTTAATTTTTAAATTTATATAGTAAGCTTATATGTGAAGAGGCTTGACTAAAATTGAAGAATTATAGTAAAACATGTCATTCATTAAGGATCACTCTGAAGCAATTGATGCTATTGCTTCACTAGGGTGTCTTGTCATATTCTTATGGATCTGGGATCTATTAACATCAAAAGTAGGGCTTTAAAAGTAAGTAGGTTTACGCTTTTAAATCAGTTTATATTTTGAAAGTAAATCATAGACTTGCATGGTTTAGACTTAACCAATTTCAATTTTTGATTACGCCTATATAGTTTTAAAGTAACTCAAAGTTTTTAAATTTTAACATTGGTCTTGTGGGTTGCCATGATGGTTACATAATAACGACGTAAATGTAAACAAAATAAAGAATAATATCATATTTTAAAATCAAGCCACACCTAAACACAGTACAAGGGGGGAAAAATTGGATGATGACAACTGATCAATACATGGATCAATACCCACGGCCGCCTTTAACTCCAGGCCGCGGCCTTCGAACTGGCAACGTTGCAAGTGGTGTTGTCACAGCTGTTTTTGTTTGGAAGCAGCTAATGGTATTTGTGTATTTACGAACGATTGGTTACTGGTCTATGACAATATTGTCTCCGCTAAAAAATGTACAGATATAGATTTTAATTCATATTGTTTCGGTTTTAAATTCTGTATGTTTTATTTTCAATATTTTAATAAATTTATGATCATAAATTTAAATTTAAATCAATAAAGTGCGAATTAATGAGCTGATGTCACCTGTCTGCCATGTTATCTTATGGGAAGTCTGTCACTGAACAACACCACTTGCGACGTTGCCAATTCCACCAGGTCACGGCCTGTAGTTAAAGGCGGCCGTGTCAATACCACAGAGAAAGTCTTAGGTTTACATTTAAGTCCCGATTTGGAAACGACCATTGATCGAATAGGTACAGTCTTAGATAATACATAATCTTTTAGGTACAGCATTTAACAGATTTGATTTGTAGCTAAATAAGGTACAAATAACATTTTATCTTAAACAATTTGTCGGTAAATCGTAAATCACATTCTTGAATAGCAAACTTAAACAGGTCCACGACGTAGAAAGTGGTGAAGGAAGTAGTAAAGGTGAGAAGTGCGGAGTGTGGAAAACGTTTGTGGCATGGCAGTTAGATAATTGTATCTAAAATAATAAAATGCCATGGGAAGGGGGGAAACAAGGAAATAGTAAAGGCTGGCAATGCAGAGTGTGGGACCGTTTGTTGCAGTTACATTAATGTATCTGCGATAATAAAAATGTTATGGGAAGGAGGGAAACAGGTCCAAGACGTATGAAGTAGTAAAGGCTTGCAGTGCAGAGTGTGGGAACGCTTTGGGGCAGTTAGATTAATGTATCTAAAGTATTAAATGCTTTGGGGAGGGAGGAAAACAGGTCCACGACGTAGGAAATGGTAAAGGAAGTAGTAAATGCTTGCATTATAGAGTGTGGGAACATTTTGGGGCAGTTATATTAATGTATCTAAAGTATTAAATGCTTTGGGAAGGGAGGGAAATAGGTCCAAGATGTAGGAAGTGAAGTGGCGAAGGAAGTAGTAAAGGTGAACAGTCTGGAATGTGGGAACCGTCTGTGGCAGTTAGATTAATGTATCTGCAATCCTTAAATGCGATGGGAATGGAGGGAAACAACAGGTCCACAGTTGGAAGTGGTGAAGGAAGTAGTTTAAAGGCTAGAACTGCTAGCAGTGCTTTGTGTGGGAACATTTGTATTTTGTATTTTATATCTATAAACATTTTTTATTTATTGCTTTATTAAAAATCATGAAAAATGATTCCTCCGCTTTCATTGCTATGAAAGCAATCCTAGTTTAATATTGTCTAGAGTTGAGATTTTGTAACAAGTTCGATGTGTTTCATTGTCAAAGATGTTGAAGACTATAACTACTAAGAAGGCCATGCTCTATTAAAAGATTAAAAATAAAAATAAATCAAATTAAAATTAGAGAATTTAAAAATACTCTCCTTGTACTATCCACTATGGTACATTTGGTCAAATTTGCTCTTTTACCAGGGCATTATGTACTCATATTTTCACACGTAATGGAATTATAGCTACGTACACAGTCTCTCTTTTCTTCAGGAACAATGCAACAAAATCGATACTAGGCACAATGAGGCTTTATTATAATTAGGCAGTAGGCAATGTGGGATTATAAACTAGGAAATACCATCATATTAATAATCTTGATACTATAATATTTTGTAGCCCAACCTTCTATTATTATTATTATTATTCTATGGTTGTTACTCTTTGGTATGTTTGTTTGTGATTTGTGTTTTTGTGATAACAAAATGGCGACGCCTGTCTGCGGCCGAATGGAGTATTATTGAGAATGTGTGATGTGACCCGTTGACTGTTGTTATCGACCGAATTACACAATTCAACTTTAATAAACATAATTATTTTCCACAGTTACCATATCTTATACGCATTTGATGTGAGTTTTGTTTTGAGAGTGATATCTTTATATGTTGTTTTTGTTCTTGAATCAAACTTCGTTCAGCTAACAGGTCAGCATAATCATCGTGCAATTAATTGAGGATTTAGGCTATGCACTAACGGAAATTAATAAATTGTTTTGTGACATTCGCGAAGAACTGTATTAAGTGTTTCAGAATATAAACGTAGAACTATACCATTAAATTTTCGATGAATGTAACTTCTACCAATAGGCCTACTCTTTTTGATAATGTCATCACCTAACGATGATTTAGATAACAGTGCTTTGGGGTTAGAAAAATCCGAACCTTTGATTGATGACTCTAGGCATATCATAAACAAAACCACCATAGGCCTACATGAATCCTCTGAAACCCAGCTGAGCAATAACGCTGTTACAAACTCTGTTGATAAAGTTAGTGCCAGTTTTAAAAGTAAAATGAGCGAAGTAGACTCAGATATCAACGTTGCAGAAAAAAATGCCTCTTCTAGTGAAGAAGCCATGCAATTGGAGTATGATAATACCAGTGAAGATTGTCTTAATGATAATATGACTAATGACAAGAAAAAACTTAATATTAATGATGGAGATGATAATAGTGCTGAGCCAACTGTCAGTGAAGACGACAACCTACTCTCTGAAATTTCCAAATTAGTTGATCAGCAACATGGTGACAGTGATTCTCAGATGGTAAGTGAATCTGACTGTCAAGACAATAATGTGGAAAAGGACGATGCAATTGACATGGAAAGCAACATTGATGAAGTAAACAATGATGTTGAAGGCAACAGTGAAGGTAAGTTAGATAGTGCTCCTCAAGATAAAGTAGGTAACACATTAACAAGCGAAATAAAGAAGCCGAAGGAGAGTGCTGTTCAGAGGCTAGCGAGCTTGGGTCTAATTCCTGAGGAAAAACCTGTTGTGGAAGATAAAGAAACAATTCTAAAAAAACTGGCTAGTCGAGGTGGAATTTCCATTGTGCCAGCAGGATCCAGGCCCTCACCATCAAGTTCTCCAGTGTCAGTAAAACCTGTGTCTAGTAATGTATCACCAACCAAACAAGTAACATCTAAGACAGGATCTGTGAAGCCGTCATTGTCTTTGAAAACTCCAGTGCCTGGGAAATCTCAAAATATTAGCAATCCTTCTGTATCCATACCTACTCCAGTGAAACCTATTTATAAACCTGGGCCTAAGTCTGCAAAGAAGAAAATTAAAATTGATCCCGGTAATTCTTTAGATATTGAAAAGGATTTTAACTCTCTTATAAATATCCTCTCTACTGGGGCTGATGTGAGTAGCACTTCAGTTACCTCCAGTACCGGTACTACTGAAGAAAAAAGTGTATCTGGTGAAATTGTTTCAGAAAAAGTAAATGAATCTAAACTTGAATCCCAGCTTGAAATGAATGAAGCATCTAATCAGAGTACAAACGATGGACATATAAGCGGGATGGATGTCGATACAAATGACGATAAAACCTTCGAGTCAGAAACTGAAAGTCATGATGACTCTAAATTGGATCAATGTTCTGAAACTGATGAGAAAGATCCATCCAAAAACAAGAATAAAAATGTTATTGAAGAGGGCTCTGCTGAAATACTTCTCATAGCAGACAAAAATGTATTTTACAATAAAGTTCAAGAGTTCAACAGAGACATGAGGTATGTTAGTTTAGTTGGTAAAGTACCTATTTAGGCCTTAAGTTAAGCTTAGCTAGGTATTCTCGGTCCAGCTACTAAAAGTCTAGTTTAAGTGAATTTCCCATAGCCTATAGAGAATACCCTAAGCTATTTACCGTAGGTGTCATGGAACACCATCAGTTTAAATTCATAAATAAAATTATGCGTTTGTTAGGTCGATAACTTGAGTTATTAAAGGAACACTTCTGTTTTATAAGTAAAAATTATCCAATTTTGAATGAATTTGGAACAAACTAGTATAGGTTTAACCTTACGTTTATTCAAACAATTTCCATAAACTAAGTTAGCATGATCAGACTGTGTGGGAACAGCAAGGCATCGAGTTATGCCAGAGATACTATAACTCATTAAACCGGCCACTATCAAACTTGAGAGATAAGGCTTATACTGTAGATTCCCTCTTATCTGGAATCCTTGGGACCGAAGCCAGTCCGGATACCGGTAACGGTTTTTCCGGTTAAACCGACATCCCCAAAAACTCATTAAAATGGACCGTTTACTGTGATATTCAACTTAAATTTAGGAGAGCTTTGTATTTAGACACGTGACTGGTTTCAGTACTTCCTGCCGATCTAGTCCGGTTAAACCAATATGTGCTGATAAAAATTTTCCGGTTTTAAAGAGATGTAATTTTTGCTGAGTGTAGTTCGGTTAAACCGATGTCCGGTTAAAATGTGTCCGAATAAGAGGGAGTCTAACTGTACTGTTGTTGGCTGGTTCTAACTCACTCGGGTATGCCCTGGACTGTATAGAAAAAACGGGCACTTAAGCTAAATAGGTTAATTATTTTGAAGAAGAATGTGATGAGATACCGGTAGCCTAAATGGTATATTGTAATGAATTAACTAATTTACAGCAAAGATTGTGTAATTAGCTAAAAAGAAGTAACTGTACAGTAGTAAGTGTGATAGTACCTAGTCAACATTATATATTATTACACTAAATAGGCCTACATATTTTTATTTAGGCCTATCGTCAAATTTGTAAACTGTGCCTTTTAAATGCCCGATATTGGTTTGTATATCTAAGCTATTATGTTACAGTATTGCAGCTCTGACAGTGTTTTCTGAGATGCATCAACAGGATCCCAGGATTCGAAACCGGGGCAAAAAGCGGAAAGCCAACGACTCAAGTGAAGCTGACTCCAACCATGCTGAGGGGACGGAAGAGAACGTTTTTGAAGCTGGAAAAAAGGCAGAGGTACAATTGCTGTTTAACAGACATCTAACATAGGCCTACTTACAAAGTTACGATAGCCTAAAGATTTGAGCAGTAGAACGCCTTATTTGATTTCCTTGTTTCAAAAACTTCTTTAAATTTGAATTTTTATCATGACTCTTAGAATTGCAATTTTATGTGATCAGTGTAAAAAAAAAAAAACATCACTTATTCTCAAATTATTCTTAAATGGCTGAAGTGATTTCAAACATATGGAAACTCGGTTTCACAAAAGTAGAGACATTACACTATTCTCTTTCTATCGACTATGGAAAAACAACTTGATTAGGTAATGTACTGAGTATTTGACATATTAACGATGCGTGGAGTTGGAATAAGGCCTAATACTGTACTGCACAGTGCACACCCAGTCAAATTGCAGTCCCTGCCTTTTCACCTGCTCCTTTACCCGCCATAGTCCCATAGTACACCCCATAGTTGGTGAGACTGTTGTGCCATTGGCTAGTCACTTTTTTTTAAAAGCTACGTATGCAAAACTGGAAACAAGCATTAAGTATTGCACTCTTAACCGACCTATAATTTTATCTGTTTCATAACAGTGTTGAAACAGTTTATAAATGCTATTTTAATATCATTTCGTAGTCAAATTCTAATGCTAAAATTGTCTGAAATAATCTCCAAAATAACCCAAATAGTTGAGTTAAATGATGTGTATGTCACAGATTAAATTATCTTTCTTTGTTAACTTACAGAATGGAATTACCATCCTGGAGGCTTTGTCTGCCACTGGTCTTCGCTCTATCCGTTACGCTCGAGAGATTCCTGGTGTCAAGGAGGTGATCGCTAATGACTTCAATGAAGACGCTGTTGAAACGATAAAGAAGAATGTGGAGCACAACATGGTGGAAGACATGGTCACTACCAGCATGAGTGATGCGTCGTAAGTCTCTAGCATGTCATTGAATACACAATGGTTAGGGCCTAGGCTTAGTTTGGTCAGAATGTAAACAGGGTTTTAATACTGTGTGGTAGTGCCTCAGTATACTAGCTTTTCCATTTCAAATGTGAATAGCTTAGGCCTATAGATTTGTGCTCTGACCTTTTTCAGTGTTTTGCAACCATATAGCAAAAGTATTTTAAAAGTTTGATTCCTCCACAAAATGTTATGATAAACTTTACAACTCAAAGTAGAGTTACATGAAATTTTATAGTGGATGTGGAAAAGAAGACTTAGCCTACCTTACCAAAAACAGTTGAAAGTACATAAACACCCCTAACACATTAATTAAATTGTACTTTAGAGATGCTAATTGAAGAAGGAGCTAGTGGTATAGAAAATTCTATGTTTCAGGTGTTGATACAGTTTACTTTCAACTATTTTCAACAGTATGGTACACCTGCTGTTCATCCTATACAGTATTAAATCCTTAAAAACTAGGCGCAAACCCATCCTTGCCAACAATTTTAGTATTCAAATTATGGTTTTTAGTAGTCTATACAAAACTACATCTGTCTGACAGTAAAAGTCAACAGCTGGGCATGTAGAAACAGAAAGGCAAATTATAAAGGAGATATAGTTAACAAATCTTTATGTCGGGAAGCGAACCATATTTAAATAATAACCAAAAACGTCTTTGATGTAGGCTTTTAATGTACCAACGGAAAGATGCACCGGAAGGGTTCGACGTCATTGACCTGGATCCTTACGGGTGTCCCTCGCGGTTCCTGGACGCGGCGGTACAGGCAGTGAGGGACGGAGGACTGCTGCTGGTCACTTGCACTGACATGGCCATCTTGGCTGGTAACTCTCCTGAGTCATGCTACGTCAAGTATGGTGCCGTCAGTCTACGCATGCCTGCTTGTCACGAGATGGTGAGTATTGGTAGTAACCACTTCAGCAATTTACACAGTCCATTCATTGGCACATGACTGAGGCAACAATATCTTGTCAAAGTATCTGTTATATGAGCTCCATTCCACCTGATTGAGTTGAGTTGGACCTTGACCCTAAGCCAAGTTCCACAGCCACATGTGAGCTTTTGCATTCGTTTCACCTTAAAGGCTTTTAGGCTTAAAACATAGAAGATAAGAATTTAGTTTATTAAAGCTCTAGGAACATAAGATAACAGAACAGAGTACTCTCACTATTACTATTTATAGATGGGTTAGGTTTGGAGAGAAAGGGCTAATTGCCTGAGAATAGGTGTGAGAAAGGATAGGATAAGCAGGCTTACCTTAAAAAATGTAGGCATCCCACTTCATTCACTACAGAACACAGAAGAAAACACAAACAAACAAAATTAAAGGACACAATACATGCTCCACGAAAAATGTTGTATATCAACTTCAATGCAACCATTGCCCATCTCAATACATTGGACTTACCACCACCAGTTTTAGAACATGAATGAACAATCATAGGACAGATATAAAAAACAACCATCCAGAAAAACCAGTGCCTATTCATGCTACCAGCCACAATATGCAAGATTTAAACAGTTGTTTCAATTCAAAAATAATAAGATCTTGCCCTCCCACCTGTAACCCATCACAACTAAGGAGATGGGAACTCTCTTATCAATGGTTCACCAAATCCAGGGAGCCCCCAAACCTCAATCTCAGATAGGCCTAAAATTTTCCTTTCCCCTTCCACACCTAAAAAGCAGGCTTAGACTAAGTGTAAATAAAATCAATGACTCATAACCTGTAAATATTCATTTGTAAATTCATAGTGTGTTGGCAACACTGCTTCCTTACCAGTGAAAGACTCTTAATATCTAATGTGACTCTCCATGTTGAGAAAGGGGCCAGTGGCCTCGAAATATTTTGTTTGTTTGTGTTTTCTTCTGTGTTCTGTAGTGAATGAAGTGGGATGCCTACATTTTTTAAGGTAAGCCTGCTTATCCTATCCTTTCTCACACCTATTTATAGATGGGGATAGTCTTACCACAATATTTAGGTTACATATATGGGCAACATATTTTTAGGTTGTAAGTAAGGATTGGTACCACCGATTCTTGGACGGCAATAAAAAGAATGTGTTTTGACCACTAAGTATACGAAACTTGTTTGCAGGGGCTGAGGATTGCTCTGCAGTGTATAGAATCTCATGCTAATCGCTACGGCCGATACATCGTACCTCTGCTTTCCTTCAGTGCAGACTTCTACATTAGACTGATAGTACAGATATACACATCACCTGTTACCTGCAAGAAAACCACAAGGTTTGTGTTTGTGTTAGTCAATACACCTAAAAGTTCAGACCTGCAAAATTCTTTGGTCGATGAAATAGTTCATGGGAAGAAATATGGATCTTTAACTTTTATTTACTAATTTACAGAAATATTGAAAGTAATTTTTGTCAAACTAGTAATTTAATTCCATACAAATAACAGTAAAAACTGTATACATCTTTAGTTAAATTTGAACTACTTGCTATAAAATCAGTTTGTAGTACCTAAACATTTTCATAAAAACTTAATAATATTTTCTTGGTTTAAATTTTATTTTCCAGCAAGTTGGCGATGGTGTATCAGTGTGTAGGGTGTGGCACCCATTCCTTTCATCCGCTTGGAAGTACCTCTCAGGTTGGCCACAACTCCCAGCCAAAATTCTCATTAACTCAAGGCCCGCCTGTTGGTACCAATTGCTTCCACTGCAACCACAAGCATAATGTGAGTATTGTGGCTCATTGGCAGTATTTATGTAAACTTTGAAGTAATACTGGGTAACCCACTCAACCATGAAAACCACGAATGAGCTGGGAATTTTGTCAACCATAAAAAACCAAGACTGAGCAAAAAATGTTACGCTTAACCGTAGATACTGAAATGTGCAGATTCCAATTGTAAATTCATAAAAAACATTCATCAATTCATCTTTTATTGGCAATATTAAGAAATTATTCTTTGTTGATATTCATCATTGAATTTAATAGTTACTCTCAGGATAATGATCTCTTGCAATTTTGGTGACACTGTGTTTATTTAATTATTAAACTCAAAAGACAGCCTCAATTGCTTTAATATAACTACATTCAGATTCCCATCCTTAACAAAGGTCAAAGCTCGTTAAATTAAAACCTCACTAGTTAATTTTGAAACGGTTTGTTTGAATTGATTAAGTATTGTTATTGTTATAATCTAAGGCTTACCTTACAATCCAATTGATTTATTGTGGAGACCTAGGTTTCTACGTCGGAGAGTTATCGTCAGTCCTAGGCTAAGCTAAACTTTGGAGGTTAGGATTGAAAAGATCATGGCCATGCATCAGTGGAAGTGTTTGTATTTGTAAAATTCTATTCACCCGACAATATCTCAAGTAAGAGATGAAAAACAAAAAGTTTAGCTTAGCCTAGGACTGACGATAACGCTACGGCGTAGAAACATAGGTCTCCACAATAAACCCATTGGATCGTAAGGTAAGCCTTAGATTATAACAATGTTTAATAACGATCCAGAGGCAATTTCTCCAAATGATTAAGTATCTCCACTTCTTCTTGAATCGGAATGGCATATCGTGTTGCATGTGTTGTATCATAGATACCGTTGTCCTCGAATCCTAGATCTGTATGCCTCAACTCCATGCTCCTTATGATAAGTTGTGAATTTCATTTCATAGTTTTAGCTACATTACATTACAACGTTTATTTATGTGAAATGATCACCATTTTACCTATTTGTGATTTACCCTAGCTGGTGTCTTGGCATCTCTACTTTTTTAACTTTTACTTTAATAATAAATCCTTAACATTGCAGATGGGAGGCCCTATATGGACGAACCCTATATACAGTACAAAGTTTGTAGAAAGCATGCTGCAAGTGTTGGAAAAGGGGAGGTTTGGAACTGCTAAGCGAATGCAAGGTAATTTAATTTTGTTGGTAATACGAGCACAAACGTGTAATTTTAGACTTTTCATTGATCCTATGTCAGAACAAAGTAGAAATAGGAATGTTTTTTAGAGATCACAAACACTGCTCAAGGGGTAGAAGGCATAGCATTCTTATTTATATGTCATTATTTATTTAGAGCAAACTGTAAAAGGGGTCCTTCTTGATCCATCTCAATAAATAAGAATTTGTATTTCATTAATTACTTTCCATGGTTTTCAATCAAAATTGCTATACATTATTGGTATCAAAAGTTGTACATGATCAAAAAAGTTATCACAGAAAAATAATTGATACTGGCTCATTGCTTATAAGTTGTATGGCTTCATCCGCTAACAGAGATAATCCAATTTGTTAACAAAATGTTAGTACTATCTTTAACCAAAACGTTCTAGTTGTATAACAAATTAGCTACAGCTGGTCCATGTAGATGGGAGTTGATACTATGTAGGCCTACCTAGTCAATCAATAATGAAATAAAACCAATCTATCCACTTGCTAAACCTAAATCCAATTTTCCAAACCATTAAGTCCTAGTTTAAATATTGCAGTATTGCCCTGTCAGCTTGGTGTGAGCAATGGTTGATTTAATAGTAGACAGTTTAAATTTTGTTTGTTGATGAGAACATCTCAACATACATCATATCTCCGCCATCTCCGGTAACTTAATGATACATTTGTTTTGTATAGGAATGCTTGAAGTTATCAGGGAGGAGTTACAAGATGTTCCATTGTACTACACCATTTCAGGGCTGTGCACAAAACTACACTGTCAGGCCATACCTCTGATAGATATCAGGTACTTATAAAATAACTCAGTCTAGCTGATAATTAAATGGTCTCTTTTCCATTAAAGTCTACCTCAACAAAAATTCTTAGTCCAGTAAATTATTTTTTCTAATCAAGTCAGTTAATCAATAAATCAATTTTTATGCAGCAATGCTCTCCTGGATATGTATTTTAAGTCTAAAACTATAGACTTATAGACTTATAGACTAAAAGTCTACCTCAACAAAAATTCTTAGTCCAGTAAATTATTTTTTCTAATCAAGTCAGTTAATCAATAAATCAATTTTTATGCAGCAATGCTCTCCTGGATATGTATTTTAAGTAGGGATGTCCAGGATTGAAATTTTAGTTTGGGACGGGATTTTTATTTCCTTCCCAATTTTCGGGACAGGACGGGACGGTATTTTTTCCTGTGCAAAAATAGGGTTTGTTTTAAAAGTCTTGAGTATTGCAGTTACCAAAAAAGACAAACAAAATCAATTTTTACAGTTAGTGGCACTGATCTATAAAAACTTATAATGGGTCAAACAAATTAGAGGTATAGAAAAAACTTGTGACTAAATAATGTCATATCTGGTGAAATTTAACTGTAAATCATCAGTCTCATTATAAAATACCCTTACCTAACCACAAAAAGGTAGGCCTATTGGAACAGACTATCACTACATTTTCCAACTGATCGTCAAAATGACTCTCGGTCACGCCACAATCTTTGAAATGACTAGACGGTTATGGTTGAAATGACTACCGGTCACGGTGTGATCTTCAAAGTGACTCCACAGTCACGACACGATCTTCAAAATGACTCAGCAGTCATGGCGTGATCATTGAAATATTTAAAAATGTAGCCTATAGCATTGTTGTACCCTTGTATTTTTTTACTAGAAGAATAATGTTATTAAAGGATATAACCGTATTTACAATCAAGCTATTAAAAACATAAGTGCCTAAATTGCCAGGATGTTTAGTTAATGTTCTGTTGTAGGTCGGCCATTTTGAACGCTGGCTACAGAGTGTCTGCCTCCCATGCAGCACCAACGGCCATCAAGACAAACGCACCCTCCAAGATCATCTGGGACATTATGAGGTAGAGTTTGGCTGTTGTTGTTTAACTCATTATATTACCAATGAAGTACCGTACTTATGAACATTCAGTTTGCGATCAATTTGGTATGAACCCTTATTGACGCTAACAGACGAGTTTTATAACGCTCAACCCCTCTTCTCACATATTTCCTTTTGCTCTCTTTCAAGCCACCCAAGTTCTGTGTAAGAAATCATTGATAATAATGTTAGAATGTTTTTTTTTGTTGGACCATATTCTTTAACATTTTTATTATCTTTTAGACCAAATTCTTTGCTTGTAATACGTACAATATACACATACCTACCAGTCTATGCTAAGCAAAACTTTAAATTGTGAGATTGCAATCCTAACTTTTCTATTATTATTTAATTTATTTTATTTTAGCACAAAGATTACCTGGACTTTTTCTATGACAAGCTAGCTGATATCCATTTAGCATAAAAATTACAATCCTTGCATTAAACCTTTCCTTAAACATGATACACTCATTAATTATAATTAAAGGACAATCAAACTAATTGTTATTATTGACAGTGATATTCCGTAAAGCATTTGAGAAATGCTTGGTAAGGATTGTACCACTCCCAAGTATGTTGTCTGCTGCAGATGTTGGGTGCATATGAACCCTGTATCAGAGAAGCGTCTAGTCCCGGGGTCCGTCGCCGCAGCCATCATACTGGAGCCGCCCAACCTCATAGCTAACTTTGACATCCATCCTCGCGCCAGGCCAAGCAGTGCCATCCGCAAACTGGTCAGGTACCAGCAGAACCCGGAGAAGAACTGGGGACCCGGCACTCGAGCTCGGTGCAAGTAAGTACCAGTACCACTCGTCTTCATGAATGAGAAGCATTCTAGTGTACCTTTTCGCTTCAGTCTTTTTCCATCTGGATGTTCAACCTTTTGAAATACAAGTGGAATGATAAACAGAACTAAACTTCCATTTATCTATGCATATGACCTACAAAAACGGCTTCGGATTTTTGTTGACCACGTTTTTTTTTTTAGCCAATTTCCCTTTAGGGAAGAAACTATTACCTTATTAGTAGGTGGCGCGGTATACTTTTTCATTTTTATGTCCCCAAAGGCCAAAAACAAATCTAATCAAATAACAGTGGAAACATCACTAAGGATTCGCACACTATTAAGGATTCGTATCCCGTCTCAAGTCCAAGTTAGGTCTGGTTCGCGGTGTGCATCTCATGGTATCCACACGACCAAAAAAATAATCACGCTTACTGGTTCAAGAAATCCGCATGATTTTTTTGTTCAATCCTGAGTGTTAGGCTACATTTGACGTATCATGCTTAAATTGTTCTTTAAACTTTGCTATATTTTGCTACAGTAGTTTAATCATTTGGAGTTTTTTTTTTATTAAGTAGAAAAAATCAAAATAGCAGTCATAACTGAAAATCCCGATTTATCCCGCATCCCGTTTTAATACTGCTCATGGTCTAAAAATCCCGTTTTCGTTATAATAATCCAGCGTATGGATACACTGCTCATGAGAAGCTCATCTGTCTCCTCTAAGATAAACAGTGGGATTGTATTAAATAAACATAGGTTAATTTAGACAACACCTCATTGAAGTAGTAGAGTTTCTGATGGATATAAAGATTAGCAAATTAGTTAAGTATGTTATTAAAACAAGTACTATTATGGCTTAAGCTTATAGGAATGAAATAAAGGATTAATGGTGTTTAACACTATCAATCCTTCATGGTGGCTGATATAAAATACCCTTAGCTCCTTTTACTCAGACTGAGCAGCTTGTTTTACTCTTAAGGTTTTTAGATCTTCAAGGCAAGGTGGAGAAAAGGCATGTGTTTTAGACTGAAACTTCAATTCATTTTTCAATTTACTAATTTAGCTAAACCCAGGTCTACATTCTAAACACTGTACATGATAGTAACAAATGGGTGTGTAATATAAATTTTGAAGCTTACATCTTGCATTTTTAACAGCCCACAACCATGTGAGCTGCCGAAATTGAGAGTTCGTAGAAGAGCCTTTTGTCAGACTATTCCTGTCTTCTGGGGTTATTGGAAAAGTGGGCTGTTAACTAAACTGTACCCTCTGAGATCTTTTACTTGGGAGGTACGTCGTATGTGACCACTGATTGATTTTGAGAGGAGTAAACAATTAAACACTCCTTATTGTAAAAAGCCATTAACAATACCATTAGATTTGAATGATTTTGAATGAATGAATGATTTAGAATGTAGCATTGATGGTTTCATTTAACATTTTAAGGAAATTTAAAAACTGTCTGGCCCCATTCATGTAAATGATTGAATCACTGGCATTTATTTTTTACCTAAGAAAGTAATTTTTTGATCAAATTTATGTATTCAAACACTTTTTAGCGAATTTCCCTATAGGGAAGTAGCTATTACCGTAGGTGGCACGGTAAGACCTAGTACCGGAACCGATTTACTTTTTCATTTTGATGTCCGCAGAGGCCAAAAACACCATTCATTCAAATTTTTATAAACATCCGTGAACGCGATAACTTAAGTAATTTTAGTCCGATTTTGATGAAATTTAGTTGAAAGGTGTAAGGCAGGATAAACTTGAAAGAGTTCGCGAACCTCTTTAAGAGTATGCCGTGCTGTAAAATGTTGTAGTTTGCTTGTTTATGGATATATTTTGATCAAACTTGGCAAAATATATCCATTTTTTTTTATACCAAGTTATAAATATTTTATTAAAAAACATACTTTATTAGTTTCCTTGCAGCAAACCTCGGTGTTAAAGCTAATGTTATTTAAATAGTTTTGATTGCAAATCAATTCAGACATTCAGACAAATGGAAATTTGCTTGGTCGGCAGGTTTGCTGCGGCGGGGGTATTTCATTTTTGAGCATCATTAAAATAATGTCAAATACCAGACTAAAACGAGTAATTTTCACACAAATTCAATTCCAAAAATTCATCGAGTACATGCATTTATACATTTTTTTCTTAACTGTGGTTTTCTTTATGAATCCTATGTTATTACAGTAGAACCCCTCTTATTCAGCGACTAGAAGACTGAGTCCCTGGCAAGATAAACTAACCTTTTGTAACAACAAAATTTTTTTCCTAGTCTAATAATGATTAATCACTAAAAGTAGGTTGAAAAGTCAAAAGCAGTGTTTAAGTATATTGGTAGGTCTATTATTATTTAGAAAAATTCACTGTTAGTTAGTAAAAACAAACACACATTTTATTATAAAGGTTTTAGTGCCAAGTGGTTAAGTAATGATCATAAAAATATTATGATTTCAGATATCATAAACACTAGATGTGTAAAATTTCACATTTTTTTTTGTTCTTAGACGCTAGGCATGAGCCCATGATTGTTTTTCTTCACATTAGTTTAGGATAGACCTAGGGGTTGCGGAATTCTCACTTAGATAAAATCCATTGGTAATTGGCAGGATTCTAACACAGGACTGAAAACCCGCGCTCTACCACTAGACCAGCTCACTCCCCCAGAGTTTTTACACACTAGAGCAATTATTACTAATAACTGGTAATGATTGTTGATGGTACGAAAACGGGTAACTGAAGTCACTCAGTTTTTCAATATCTCAGTAACTGTCTGAACTCAAAACTTTTCTAGGTAACTTTGAGCGTGGTTTTTTTATAAACTGTGAATGAAGAACAAACATTGTGACAAATTTAGTCATTCTCTATTATTAAGTTACCTATTGTTAAATACAATTTTTGTTTTCAGCAATGCCGAAGAAACGAAGAATGAAAAGAGGCAGATTAACCAAAATAAAAACAAGAATAAAAAGCATGTGTCAATCATTGAAGTTGTAACCATAGATGATGAAGACGAAACAACAGAAGAAGCGAAAACAGCGGAAACGTAAACCAGACCTTGAGTTGATAAAGAAAAGATAATATGTTGTGCTTCACAGGACTTCAGTCGAGAGTATTTAAGAGTGGATTATTTAAAACAAGCTATAAATTTTTATTGGTTATTTTATACAATTTCCTCTGTTATTTTATTTACCTACAGGGTATTTTTTACATTAGGTCCAAGATTTAGGTAAAATGATTAAGAGAGATGTTTTCATTTAATATTTGGATACTTAATTTCTCTAAATTAAAATAATTTTGGTCAAAAAACAATCAATTATGCTGTGTATTGTAGCATTTGATTATTTAAAGAGATTTCTTAGTAATTTTTTTTTCTAGGTTTTTTTATTGTATACAATTCTAAAAGAGGAATAAGTATCTTTCCTCTATACTGCAAAATTTAAATAACTTTGCAGGACAGATATGTTGGAAGTTGAATATAATATTATATTATGATGTAAATAAAGACAATTTTTACTTAATTCAATAAGTACTACAGACATGCTGTACAAAGATGTATAATTGAAGTAGAGTTTTGAGTGTTAAATAAATGTCATTTGTGGTATTTATGCTTTTGGTTCTTGGAAGTAACAAGCATCCTCATCCCTATAATTCATTTACAACTTGTTGGATTTAAGAGTCATTGGAGGCTAGCAGCCATCTTGTATAATTTTAAACAGCTGCTGAAGAGCTATTTATTGTCCCCAAATATTTTTTTCAAACACCAAAAGTGATTAAAATTTAAATATCTAGTATACTGTGAGATTAGAAATGTTGTGTAAAGTTTGTAAGGCACTCGCGAAGGCTCGTATGTTAAATTTTCTACTCGTGTCGTTAACACTATCTTTATGCGATGGTGGCTATACACTGTTTAGAATAAATCAATTAAAAATCTTTTTTTTGGGTTCAGGGGGACCCAAAATAAATATATCCATCCAAAACTTAAACTCGTAAATTTTTACAAAAACAATACTTTCTCCATTTACTATGTCTAGGAGGAGAAAGTAAACGGGTATAAAACCTGATACTGATAAATTTATAAAACATTTGCTAAGACGATATAGTTTTTAAATTTTGCACGACATTTATACATGAAGATTTAGATGTTATTCACGAAAAATAAAGCTATATGCAAAAAAGGAAAGAACAAAAGATCATATAAACATTTTATTGGAAAATAATACAATAGTATCAAAGTATGTAAAAAAGTTATAAAATACATTATATAACTTAGAGAGCAATTACAGTAAGGTTACATGGTTGTATGATGTAAACAACAACTAATAGTGTCATAGGAACAAACTTAACAAGGATTGTCGTGTCTAAATATTTATAGGATCGTCACGGCCGCGAATTCGCCGCGCAAGTTGCATGTCCTTGGCCATTAGTGTGACGCGTCGCGCGTGGATCGCGCACAACATCGAATCTTCGAAGAACTGAGTCATGTACAGCTCGGCAAACTCCTGCAGAGCTTCTAGTGCCAACGTCTGAATCCTGAAATATAATTCAACCATGGTCAATAAAATGTAGGACTTTAGGCTGATTGTTATTCATTTTGAAAATACATTTCTTCAAAGAATAGTTGAATGTAATATAAAACAAACCATAATGACATACGTTAAATAAAATACAGCCTGAAAATACAACAAACAAATTGTTGCCTAAAATAAGTCATATCTCTTCTACTTCTAGACTGATAAATGGTAATAAGTGCCTTATGTTGACACAAGTTAATTTTTATGGTCACCACTCACATCCATGTTGTATCCGAAAATGGTATTTTTATCAAAGTGATTTCTCTCCTTTACCGCCTAAATACACCCTTTCTTGACTAAAGATTTTTAAAAGAAAAGATCAATGAATTTAGTGTGAAGTGATATATTGTTGGCTATGTTGGCAAAAGTTCATAATTTTTATACGATTCACCATGATGTATATGAATGACAATGATTTTTTTGTATAAAAAAAGTAGAACTGTGACTTAACATTTCAGTGGTTTTTGCAGCGAACACATAACAAAATAGAACCGCTACTCGGAGCGCAGGAGCGTGGCAGTCTAACTAGCCGGTGAAACGGACAAAGATGGCGGCGCTAGCCTACCTGTCAGGGAAATAAATATGTGCGCTCGAGTTTGAGCCTAAATATCCCAGAGATGAATAATCCAATTTTGTTGAAACAAAAATTAAATATAAGCTGGTTTAAATACATTTTACGTGGTAGCAATAAAAAATTCCGTTTACCAGAAAAATTATTGTTGAAAGATCCTAAAAAGTACCGGGTTTTAAGAAACTCTGCACTAAAACTGAAGTTTAAAATTTAATTGTAAACAAACCACTGAGCCAATCAGCCTGCCAGTTGCGGGAGAAATTTTTCTTACAAATATATATCTGTTTAAAAAACACCTTTGTTCGCATTATTAATCTGTCATATTGGTGTTATTTCTTATGTCACGACAAACACGATGGTATTTTGAACGAAATTTTTAGCGTCTTATTAACGATGTTAGCATACGTTTTAAAAATAAACATCAGCATAAAAACTATCGTGAGTAAAAATTTTAAAATGCATTGAACTGTTAACAATAAATCTACCAATAAGCCATACAAATTTCAGAAAGATTGGCTTAGTGGTTTGTTTACAATTAAGTTTTAAACTTCAGTGTTAGTGCAGAGTTTCTTAAAAACCGGTACTTTTTAGAATCTTTCAACTAGTGATGTAAAATACCCGGGTATTTAAAACTCAGGGTAAATACCCTGGGTATTTACCCGGGTAAATACCCAAAATCCATAAATACCCGGGTATTTTGGGTATTTATGAAATCGATTGAAATTAATTTATTCACCCCTAAATATGTTATTGTTATCATTACATGAAAAATTAGGATAGTCTATAACACCTTTTACAGTAACTTGAAGCTTTGCTAGTACCTTTTATTTAATGATTTAGCACTTTTTTTTTAATAAAACAAAGTTTTAAAATAAGAATGGGGTTTCGTTTTTTATCAAGACAACACCTCGTCAGAGAAATAGTGAACCTAAACCTACTTCTACTGTTATTAAATTATGATAGTTAAAAAATTTTATCGCATAAATAACTTGGAAGGCTAGACAGACCTAAGGCAGAATGGCAGAATACTAAAAGTAATTAAACTTTTCTGTGTTACCGCTTAGTTGGAAAAAGTAATATATTTTGATAAACCTACTAAAAAAATGTATCTCCTGTTTTTTGGTCTAACTTAATATAGTTTTGAAAGATTTATTGTGCTATAGATTTAAATGTTTTGTATCACAAGTTTATGAAATTAGTTTCTTTTTTATTTTGATACCATTGATACCAACAAAAAATCTAGAACAAAAATATTATTAACCTGCCATCCTACAGATTGAATTTTAATTATTTTCTTAAGTTGTTTACACGCCTAGGCCACTACTAGGTTAAATTTTCATGTACAGTATTTATAAATAATAATTATTACTTTGCAAATTATTTTTCTTCACTTTAAATAAAATAAATTCATCTATCCATCATAGAAATTAAAAAATCATAAGTAGTCAGGACCAGTGCAACCATGCGACCAGGGTATTTATGCCGATTATGCTTTATGCCCAGACCTGGGTATTTATGGCGATTGTACCCAGAAGTAAAATGCTAGTAGTGACCCTATGAAATTTTGTTTAACACATTTTATCATCATTTTACTATCCTTACAGGGTAATAATTGCAAAAAAACATCTCAATCTTCTATAACTTTAATACAAATTATAAAAACCCAGTTTTTGGGTATTTACCCGGGCCTGGGGTAAATTCCCGGGTAAATACCCAATTTATATTTACCTACCCACTGGGTATTTACCCGGCCCACATCACTACTTTCAACTATATATTTTTTTCTGGTAAACGGAAATTTTTTAAATTGTTACCACGTAAAATGTATTTAAACCAGTTTCTATTTAATTTTTGTCTCAACAAAATCGGATAATTAATCTCAAGAGATATTTAGGCTCAAACTCAAGCACATATTTATTTCCCCGACAGTAGTCCCGGCGTGTGCAGCAGCGCGCTAGTCGTCTGCAATGCATGATGAGAATAGTGTATATATAAAAGTTAATGATATTAGTGTAGAGAACAATGTAATTGAGGACTTGACGAACAAAGTACTTGGACAATGTGTAGGAGTAAATTTGTTTCCAAATAGTACATATTTCTCAGGATATGAAACAATATTTACAAAAATCATTTTTGTTTAGTACCTAATTAAAATTATTGCTCAAAAATATTTCAATGTTAGAGTTCGCTATTACTGTAAAATAAGTAGGTAACGACAGTCTTCACAAAAATAAAATCAGGCAACATCTCAATAAAACTGTAATTTTTCTGGGACAATAAATTGAGTGTAATTTTACAAATATATTTGGGAAGTTTAATTTAACTTACAGAATTATCTTTAGTTTATGTTGAAAGCTAATTAGTCCTTAAAAAGTTGTGCTAAACGGTTGAAAATTCTACATAGACAATATTTTTTAAAATTTCTTTAATATATACAATATTACAGTACAACAGTATAAAACATTAAAACATTGCACGCTAAATGTACAGACGACGGCTCGGCGGCGCAGCGGGCGTGGCGCGAAGCAGCGGCAATGGATCCCTTTTGTACCTGATTTTTTAGAAAACCGAACATGATAAAAATTTTTGGTGAATCGGATAGTTAAATTTGGTTATTTATCCACAACTTTCCCGCTGACGAAATTTCTCTGACCAAAAAATAAAAAATTTCCTCGCAATACAACTTTTTCATGTCTGAATCTGAAAAATTAAACTACATAAGTATTAAACATATTTATAACTCAATTATTATCATAACTAATAATTTTATATTAACACCATCGTTTTCCTCAGTATCATATCTACAAGTGTGCAAAATTTCAGAATTGTTTGTCAACTATTAATGTTGTTTATGATCGTGTATTTGTCGCGGGGTTTTTAATGCGAACTGAGCTCGCGGGTCTTGGATTCAGGCTGTATGACGGACCAAGATGGCGGATTTGGCCACACTTTCAGTGCATTTGGTTAAACGCCGTGTCCTCTCTATTATTATTATTATTATGTGCTCGCTGGGTTTTTGTACTTAAGAGTGGGATTAAAGATCAAATTAACAACCTTCCGAGTGATAGTGTTGTGAGGATAGATTTGCAACTACTGAGCTAAACAGTTACAAAGATAACTCGTCCTAGCAAAGGACTTGCTCTATAAAGAATTGCCAGTGTTATGCTGTGCTCTTTTGTGTATTTACAAGCCTCTGGATTTAATTTTCTCAAGTAAGCTATCTGAATAGAATCATTCCCAAAAAAAATTAAATTATTACTTTTATTATAAACCCAGCACTGTTGAAGTTTTTTCATATAAAGCCCCTGGCTTTGTTTAACTAAACCTCTACGGCCAAACCATTTTAACGGTTAAACTTACCTCAACGGTTCACTACCATAAGGGTTCATCTCCATGATGATTTCCTTTACTAGCCGCATGAATGGCAGTTTAGGGATTAACAGCTTCGTTGACTTTTGAAGCGCTCTGATTTCCATTAATGCTCGAGTGCCAGGTCTGAATTTTCTCTTTTCTGCGACCATCTGAAATGAATAAAACAGAATTTCGTAATAATGGTGTAGTTATTTTATGAAATGAAAAATTTTAAGTTTTTTTTAGTTTATTACAACAAGGTAACTAGGTGCACAATTCTAAGGCTCATTTAGTGACAAATATAACAAAATCAGGTAAACTTAATTTTAAAAAAAATTGAGTTTTTTAGACATTTGGGTCAATATTTTTGTTTCTCAACCACTAACAACTTTTCAACAAAATACGTTTTATTCGTAATAAAAAAATAAATCCTCTTGAGTTTCAAAGAAAAAAAAAACACTCATCATGAAAGGAAGGGATTTTTCAATTTCCACATAATAAATCAATAAGGGCCATACAATATAATAATACTAAATTAATCCAATAGACAAAACAGGTAGGCTACTAATTAGATTCAACAATTCATGAAATATTTGTAGAGAAAATCCTAAAAAAATACAGGGTTATTCTAAATGATGGACCCATTTTTAATGCTTTATAATTTTTATACTATTAAACTTACCGCTATAAAATACACATCAAACCAAAAAGCAACTCAAAGAGTTTATGCCGTCCAAAGACACATCATTTAACAATAACGATCCAACAGAACTGTAGATTTAATTGTACAAAGTTAAAAAGTAATCTCCAACTTTTTTTACCACTAGAAATTTGGAGGTTACTTGACGTTTTTGCAAATAACATTTAAATGGTGAGGAAATCGACCAAAGTGGAAGGTATTATTCCGAAAAAGAATAAAATTTCCTACAATCTACTATTATGCATTTTTTGAAAATACTCAAGAAAGGTACCAAAAATTGCCTCAAAATGAAAAAAAAAATTGAAAATCCCCGTCTTCAATTGTAGACAATAAACATAGCAAACATTAAATTTCACACTTTTTTATTTTAAGCCAAATTTAGGCTACATTTATTGAGTATTTTCAAGATATGCGTAATAGTAGATTGTAGGAAATTTTATTCTCTTACGGAATATTACTTTGGTCGATTTCCTCACCATTTAAAAGTTATTTGCAAAAACGTCAAGTAACCTCCAAATTTCTAGTGGTAAAAAAAGTTGGAGATTACTTTTTAACTTTGTACAATTAAATCTACAGTTCTGTTGGATCGATATTGTTAAATGATGTGTCTTTGGAAGGCATAAACTCTTTGAGTTGCTTTTTGGTTTGATGTGTATTTTATAGCGGTAAGATTAATAGTATAAAAATTATAAAGCATTAAAAATGGGTCCATCATTTAGAATAACCCTATATAAAGGTGTGACAGGAATAAAAAGTTTTAAGCCTAAACCTCTGCCTGTGAAACTTGCTAAATATATAAATGAATTTTTTTAAATAAATAAGTTAACTTTAAAACGAGAACATTTTAACTAAACAAAATTACATTTGTGTTTAGTAGGAATAGCAGTAAAAAAATTCTATATAGGCCTACATAGCTAAATTTTGAGTGTAAAAACAAAATGTGATTGCGATTAACCTTCACGACTGAATTCTCAACTTTCGATTCGGGAAGATGAAAAGCAATGTCGGCAAGGTCTCGAGGCCAATGTTGAACAGCTATTTCCATCCATCAGCTGATATTCGATTCATACCTTCTGGCACAATAGGTCTGCAATCATGGTAGCTTGCCAAAACTCCTACAGTATTTGACTGTCTGTCTGGTCGCGTGTTTTGATTGGCCACCGAGTGATTTTCCTAGTTTTGAAATTTAGAAACATAACTTGTAGTCGTTACTGTAGCCCGTCTGTCAGCATTGAAATTTAAGTGTTATAGGCGAATTGAGTGAGTTTCCATTTTAATAACAAGTAAATTAAGTGCAAATAAACATAGTGAAGATAATTTTTTTTTTATTTTCACTTGTGTGTTTTTAAGCAAATTTTTATCAAATTTAATATTTATAAATATTTATTAAATTGTGTACTATTATCGTATATTATTATTGTATATTATTTAATTATTGTATAGGCCTAATGTAATGTTTATAAATATTAAATTTGGTTAACATTTGCTGAAAAACTTTTGGTTGTAGGATTCCCCTGGAAAGCTTTATTTACCAAACTTAAAAATCAAAAAGTTATTAAAAAATTGAAATAATCCCAAGTTGTTATTTTTCCAAAATAATTAACTTGAGGCTATGTTGAAAAACAAATATTATAAAATAATTAATAAAACGATCTAAATGTATGTGAAAATAGCAAACTTAACATCATTACTACTAAATTACTAAGAACTACATTACCGTTACCGGTTCTAAGTATTTTTCCTTCATTCAAATATGCTTGGTGTAATCATCTTTTATTTTAAGAAGATTACATTTTCTTAAATGGAAGAGCAGGATATGGGGTAGGCTGCAGGAAATATGTAAAATTCATAAATTAGTTTATAATATGTCTAGATAAAATAAATTCTTAGTAAAGCTTTGAAAGAACTAGTTTGCTGATTCGCTTTAAAATTTAATTGAAAATCCTATTACGCTTCGAAACTTATTCATAGTGTGGTTTCTAGTGAAGTGATAAATCCAAGAACAAAAATGGAAACATGACAACATGCAACGGGAGTTACGAAATAATAAATTTAAACCAGGTAAGGATCACTAATATACTAGATACTGCTGTACCGGTATTGTAATAGGAATTAGTCATGGTCCCACAACACCACGTAGGTAGGTTACTTACACCATAAATACAAGGGATAGTTCTTACAATAGTAAAATACCCTCGCCACAGCAAACTTGCAGACTAAGCGAATTTACATTTGCCTGAATTGATATACAATTAAATATGTTTGAAAAAACATTAATTCGGTTAAACAAGTACCTGGGTTTGCTGATACAGGGAGGCTAATAAAGTGTGTTTTTTAGTGAAATATTAAGAGCTTTAGCTTAGTATAAAATAAATAAATTTGCCATTCTTCTCCATAAGAATAATATGGAAATTTTAAATTTACAACTTATTGAATTTTCTCCGTAACCAATAACCGCACAAAAACAAAGAGTTGCCTCATTGGAATTTCACTAAAATATTTCCATAAACAACACAAATTAATTCCCTGTTTGGATAACATTAGATTTAACGAGTACTTAGGTTCACTGTTATGGAGCAGGGGGAAAATTCAGTCAAAAAAAAAAAAAAAAAAAAAAATTGGTGTAACACTGGCATTAATTAGGTCTAAGTAGCCTATTTACTTACAGATTTGGATTTATTGACCGAGCCATTTTTTGAGACCTTTGTGGATTTTTTGCCAATACTTTTTCTGGATTTTGGAGGCAATTTCTTTTTTACACTTCCTCCTAGAGAGTCGACTGAAACACCAGTCGTATCCAGAGATGTCAATGTAGAATTTGTTTTTGGGCTCTTTTCCATGAACAGTTTCTTTCTGAAATGTACATAAAATGTCATTCGCTGTTCCTAAGTTCCATATTTATTATTTACTAAGCAGATGCTTAGTATCTTTTATTTTGTAACATGAAAAGACAATAAAATGCAATCATTAGGCCTACAATAACCAAGCTAACACACAATTAATAGTTAGTGGGATGCACAATTTTCAATGTTCATTGGATGTGAAAAATAACTTAGGCTAACAAAATAGGAAAAAAAAAACATGATACAATATAATAACAAATAAGCAACAGCAATCAGAAAAAAGTTAAAAATCAGTTCATCCAGTTGGTTACAAAATTTTCAAAAAGGAGCTATCACCCGCCAGCACTTCTTTCACCATATGTGCTTGGCTCATTAAAGATTTGTAATTAAACTGAGTCAGGCTACAATTGAGCGCCAAATTATTGCCACAAGAATGTTTCCCCTCAAAATGTAGGTTCCTCACTGAAACCTACAATTTATTAAGCGAAGATATGTGACCACATTGGTCGGTTAATACAATTTAGATTACATTTTAGAACTTAATCAGCTAACTAAAACAGCTGACAATCAGTTTGGATTCAGTTCAGTAATGAATATCCAATTGTTATTTCACTTGAAACTAGTCTAGGTACTATTTGCCTACAGGGCAGATAAAGATTAATGAGTATTTTATGGCCAAATTATTGGTCTGATGCATTTATTTATTACTTAAACGATTTTATGTTGAAATGTTACCAAAAACCTGTGTAGCCCCAAAAACACATTAGTTTGTGTTAATTTTTAATGTTTAATGATAGTAAAATGACAGCTCTAATGCCAATAAAATTAAAAATTCTCAACCTCTTTCCATGAGAGTTTTTATTGATTCAATCTGGGAACCGTCCGCCAATTTTTTTTATCATGTTTTGATTTATTTTATGTACAAAAAAGCAAAATACTGCATAAAATAAGTTAAGTTTTTGGTGGACATAGAAACATGTCTAGCCTATGTGAAAGTTCTCAAAATGTCTAATTTAAAACAACTTAGGCTACAAAGAAATATATCTTGTCAAATAAGTTATAGCCTAACCCAGTTTGTCCATTAAGTCTTATTATAGGCACACCAACCTCAGCCAAAGACAGATTCCTCAAATAAGTTGCACATATTACTTACTTCTGTGCAAAAAAGTTTGCAGCCTTCAGTTTTCTTTTCCTCTAAAGAGTAACATGGAGATCTTATAGGCTAAGATACCTAGGCCTACCGTGATAATTTTCTTTGTAACCTTTAATTTTACAGCAACGCTTCAATATAGGCCTCTTCAATAATTCGTCACTTCAATAATTGTTTTTAAGCTCTTTGAACTTAAAAACCTGCGATGGCTGTTAACATTTCCATGTTTTAAGGGTAAAAATTTGAACCCAATTTTTGAAAATTGCAAAATACTCAGTTCCCATGACCCAATCTAAGTTAACTTACTTAGCTGGCTCGCCAACTCACTCAAGTTTATCCCACCCTACACCTTCAAGCCAAATTTCATCAAAATCTGACCAAAATTTACTCCAGCTAAGAAACATATCCCGTTTACGGACAAAAGCCTTACAGGTTGCAAAAATGTGATAGCCTAATCCTATCTTAGTGGTAGATAGGCCAACCGGAAGAGAGGCATAACTTAGGCTATAACTTAACTTTGGCATAGGCGTAAAAAGTTCAATTCAAGACCTTTCAAAATTGCCTGTAAGCCATCCACTTGTCTTTGTTTAGGCCTATCAATTTAGCCAAGGTAGGCCTAGTTAGCTGATGTGGGAATTGAACACATTTTCATAACCAAACTAAATGGAAAAGTCTGACATTCAAAGTCAAGATACTAAATAAATATGGCAGCCTTTCATAATGCAATATTATGATTATTGTTGGTTTCCAACTAGGCCTAGGATATAGGTAGGTTTTATTATTATCCTAAATACTTACTTGGCTGCCACTTGTACCAACTTTTTATTCTCTAATATGAGAGAATCTGTCTTCCTTCTTACCATTTTAGATAAATACAAACGACTAAGTTTAAGGTTTACGGGAAAATATCAAGTCAATTATTAAACAAAGAACGAGGAATAGACTTTTAGGTTTTTAACGAAACGACGTTACAACTTAAAATTTGAACTGACTAACCATTTAATTGACGAATGAAGAAGTTTGTCTTGAATCTTAAAGTTTTCTTCTTTCCCATACAAAATGAATATGAATTCATTTGCCGCCAAAATCAAAAAACACCTTGCTTGACTAAAGATTTCCAAAGAGATTATGAAGTATGGCATACCACCAGGAAAAGATCAATGAATTTTGTGTGAAGTGAAAATATAAAGGGTGTCCCAATAAGAACGCCGGATTTGAAATGTTAACAAACCATATATTTTCTCGCTAAATTTACAATATGAAACACGAATCTTAAAGCATAATATCTCCGATTAGTAATTGAGTATTATGTCTTGTAAGTGCCAAACTGCTGAATACTGACAAGCTCGACATCTCTTGACAAAGTTTTCCATCACTTTTTCACACACTTCCTGTTGAATTCCATTAATGGCACGAATCATTTCCTCCTTCAAGTCTTGGATTGTTTGAGGGTTATTGGCGAAAACAAGCGACTTTAAATATCCCCAGTATAGAACTGAGCCAATTTATTCGAACTTATAAACCAATCTTCGGACAGATGGATCATTTGGTGCATTGTCCCGGCCGTAAATAGTGCGCAGCTTCCGTACTTGTAGTGCACTTTAACTGTGACCACGCGTTGTTACGTCGTGTAGCGATTCATGACTAAAAATGGGACCTAATACGGGTAACATCGCTGATAATTTGGGAATTCCTATTGAAATACAGATAAGGATAAGACGCTCCTCAAATCCGGCGTTCTTACTGGGACACCCTTTATTTTTGTATATATTAATTATTCTCAGAGTGGAGGTGTTTAGGGAAAATTTAATTTATACAAGTGTAAAAAACAATTTAAACTGTAGATCAAGCGAATTTATTTCACATTTATATCATTACAAAACATAAAATAGAATTGACCAGTAAAACCATTGACTATATATACCTACATGTATATAAGTATAAGGTATAAGGTATTTATAGTCAATGGTAAAACCTACAGCTTATAATAAATAAGCTTAATTATTTAGCCTTAATTAATTGACATGACCAATGCAAATTTTGTATTGTTATTTTGGTTCAATAAATGAGTTATGAGTTATGAGTTAAGCATTCATATAATCTTTGGTATGACCACGACCGCCTCAAAGGTGGCCGTGAGTATGACTATGTCAAATAACTGTTTACAAAAGGCAGGCATTTTCATTTGTATATTATTCACTCACTAAAAAAAACATTAATATGTAAATTATATGCCTGTAAGATGATTATTACATTTACTCGGTTCGGTTCTTTTACAACACATCCCATTCACTTTTGTAAAGGAGGTTAAGTAATCGGGAATCTTTAGGTTTGTTGGAAACATAGTTTAGTTTGTGATTGGGTTATCTGGTACTGTCATATAAAGGGGTGTGTTTCATCTATATTAGTGGATGTTGCATCGCGCCTACAAGCCAGTTTTTTTTGCTCACCGGTTAGGTGGTTTAGTACTGTAGCTTGTAAACTCGCCCTGTGTAATCGAACCTTTTAATGGTATTATAATGACGAGAATTAGTGTGAGTCAATTATTATAATAGTCTTAACTCCAGTTCGGTGTTTAAAGAGACAATTTTTCCACCGAATAAAGTAATACAACTAGAGTCGGGACCACATAAGTTTGCAGTTGAGGGAGGAGCCTATTTTCCATATGGGTTTGAATGAACCAATGAGAACCGTGCGGTGTTGCCAAATCTAATAATACCAGCTGATTTGAAAATATTGCTTTGTATATTTTATTAGGGCGATGTGGCAACGTTGCACTAGCCTTGTCTTGTGATTGGCTGGCACCAACTGCAAACTTATGTGGTCCCGACTCTAAATAGGTATTGACAAAGGAAAAAATAAACATCATTCCATGCCATGGTGCTTCTCCTTGTAAATCGAAGTACCCCCCCCCCGCTATTAGCCCACCTCCTTTTCGAGGGCTTTAGAGTAAGTTTGGGAAAGACAAACTATGATAACTAATATTAATTTGAAATAACAACTTCACCAATATTTCCAAATTTTTAATTTTTATAAGTATAATTTATAATTATAATTTATGATAGGCTAACTAAGTTTAGAGTAGGAAACGCTGTAAAATTTTCCCCAAAAGCCGGAACACTTACCATACGGTACATTAATCCATAGATAAAACATACTCCCTTAGTTAGTCTATGATTAATCATACTAAAATTATTAGCCAAACTTGTTACAATTTTATCAATTCGCACGATTGAGGAACTGTGGTATACACACACACAGACCACTGAGGTCTATGTAGACTCATTTCCATTATATATTACATTAGTTATTATTCAAGCCGGATGAAACATTCAACTAGTATTTAAGTTTTTACTATTATAACTTTATAAATTAATTTTACTAGAATTAACTTACGTAAACAAAGTACTCATAATGCTTCAGGGCTATATATATTTGTATTTTATTTTTTTGAAAAATTGTATATTTTTTATATATTGTGGAAATAAAACTGATTTGATTTTGACAATATTTTTATAGAGTCGTGCAACAATTTTAAACACGTGTTAGGGACTAATTCCCGACTAAAGCTAATTCGGGAGATAAACCTTACGGATTGTATACTGAGTATGAGTATTTCATAGCGCTCAATGCGGAAATTGTACACTAAAGACTCTGTTTCAACCCGCTAATTGCAATTCCAATTATTGTTATGGCTAATAATAATACCGTGACCGGCCGGTGGTTCAGAGGTTATTTTACATTCTTCAAAAATAGGATCTACAGTATTACAAAAAGATTATTCAGGGGTGCCCATCCCCCCCTAGACTCATGACGCACCCCCCCCCCCAATTGAGCAACAGCCCCCCCCCCCATAAATGATGTACACAACAAATGAGAAACATTATTCCCCCGCCCAGCACTATTTGTAAAATTATAAAAGAAGTTTTATATTTTTTTTAGATATTTAAAATTCAAACCCAGTTAATCTATATCAATAAAGTTATAGTTTTTTCTGTACATTGCTCAGAATTATACATATTTTGGGTTATTTATGTTTTATACATTGAAGAAGTTGAAACATGTCTTATCTCCATTTATGTCCGTCTCTCACGGCCCAGAAGGCATTTTATGCAGCCTACTCAATGCCTACTCTAAAGAAAACTAGAGTACCGATTATGATTCTAATGGTTTAATTGTATCCACAGGATTGGCGAGAGAGTCCTTATAGCCATTAAAATATGGCCTCACTATTTTGGAAATAAAATAACGGACGATCAAAAATACAATTTTGTGTGATTTTTCTAGTTTATTTTCTCCATGTTTACTACATACGTCATTAATTTATGAAATACTAATAATCTGTTAAGAGAACACGTCATATATGAAATTACGAACAGCTGTTTTGATAAAGATTCCTTTTCCCAGCTGTCACTGATATGTTTACATAAATGTTCTTTAAGAATACTGTGTAGGCCCTGACCATTTCCAAACACGTTTGTAAGCAAATCCAAAACCAAGTGAGATTAATAGCCGTGTCGCTTTGGCTTACATAACGGGTTTGATTTATAACGAGTACTAATATGTAACTGTAAATTAAATTAAATAACTAGCCATCATCCAGGTCGGGAACCGGAGATTCTGTGTGTATCAAGTTGTACTTGAATTTTGATTACAGGGAAAAGACCGTGAATCAGTGTTGTACAGGACTGGAAAACTTATCTTTCTATATAAATAAAATTAGAGTTTTATAAGTCACCACAATTTAAGGAATTTTGTATTGGCAGATTATCCATAACGAATTGTCAGCGTCTTTCTCGAAATAACGATCCCCTCTCCCTCCCTTTAGAAACATCACAGCTCCTTTGATGAAAATGAAATGGAAACAACGCTTGCGCCAACAATCGTCTGCTCCGTTATACACTTCTGTCTGCTGTGCGCTATGTTACAACAGATTTTAGTCAGATACAACAGCTGGGGAATGATGACGATATAATGCTTAGTACACTGTGATTGAGTGATAACCATGGTAACTTTAGTAAGGCTGTGATTGGCCAATGAGTAGGCCTAAATATGGCGACTTGTTGAATTTGTGTATGAATTGAAGAGAAACCTATTAATGAACAGAAGAACAAAGAAAGAGAATAACAAGATTGTTCTCGTTACATTCTTTTTTAAGAGTGTTTTAATTATCTCTAAATATAATTTTACACTTTTTTATTACTTATCTATCAATTCCTATGCTGTGATACAGCACCTATCGGTAGCCTATCTGTCTACCATGAGCAGTACCTTATAACACTTTCTAAAGGTTCCTTTAATATTTACGTTATTTATAGCAATGTAATGTTTGGCTAGTGATTAGTTGAGTTTGAGTTAGCTACAATTTTAAACGTAGCCGTTTGTACAACTGAATCAAGATAAATTATTTGAAATTTACAATAATAATGATTGTGCAATATTGAATTTCGTTTATAAAAATGTAAATCGTGACTTAATGGCTGTTTACAGAGTTTTAATGAGTTTGTCATCTGTTTTTATACTATATTGGATTAACCGTATTTTTCATTCCCCCCCCCCCTCTCCCTATTAACTCAGGTAATCGAGTATACACAATAGTGTAAAGTATTGTAGCCTATGGTACTTGCTACTTGATTGCATTTTAACGAGCTTTATGTCAACAAAGCGTTCTGCTGTGTAGCTGTCTGTACCACGCGTTATCTTTTATCTATCACAGAAGTTGAGCCATCCCGTGCGCTCCCTCTCTTAGATCTCACGTCTTGCTAATCTTAAATAATAACTTTCTACACGAATCCTAAACCATCCTAAAATCCTATTTTAACTAATTTAATTCAATAATATAACTATTGTCTTATCCACTTTCTATCTGGCGATTTCGTAATGAATTTTGGATTGTCGTCACGTTGAACACTGTTGCAATTAACTTTAGCCTCCCCCCCCCATTTGAATTTTTTGAGCCCCCCCCCAAGAATTTCAATGACGCAGTCTGCGTCACGGC